CCTGCCTAGTCCTGTGAAAAGATGGGCTTTCCCAGTTACCTCCTGACTCTCAGGAGGTTGGGTGAGGCGACTACCTACCTACCCCCCTTACCTCCCACCTGGCTGTCTCATTAAGCGTGAGAGCTCTGAGTTCTGGAGGGTCTCTACCAAGAACATTCCTTCATTGAATAACTTTTAGCTCGGCTGTATGCCAAGATCTGTTAGGCACTGAGGCCCTGAGTTGATTCCAGGAACCCACAGCCTACTGTAAGCTAGAGAACCTTGTGTGTATTTTGCGTCTTGTTATTGTTTCAATCATAAACCCCTAAGAATCTGATAAAGCTATAGTCCAAAATGCACCCACTTAAGAAATTTTACATGCTATTTCATATGGTTCACCCCTGACACGCATAGAGCCTGGTTTAAACCCCACATCTAAGCCGAAACAGCAGACACACAATCAGGCATTTCAGTGCAGTGTGGCATATGCTGCAATACTAGGTCTCATCCTGCTCAGGGTCAGAGAGAAGACGGCACAGAAGATGGTTTTTGATCTAGGACTTCAAAGAGATGTAGTTCCAGGCCAAGTTGGAAAGGGAGACTAGACCTGCCTTTGCCCATCCCTCTGCTACAGATGGTTTATCCCTCCATCCTTAAAACTGTTTCTTCTCCCAGCCAACAGGCACTGTACCCCTGTCAGTCACTGCTGCATTGCAGCTGACGCACAGCCAGGAAGACTCCAGCCGTTGCTCAGATAACTCAAGCTACGAGGAACCGTTGTCACCCATCTCAGCCAGTTCATCCACCTCTCGCCGGCGGCAAGGCCAGCGGGACCTGGAGCTCCCTGACATGCACATGCGGGACCTGGTGGGCATGGGACACCACTTCCTGCCAAGTGAGCCCACCAAATGGAACGTTGAAGACGTCTATGAATTCATTCGCTCTCTGCCAGGTAAAGACCTTAGGAATTCCATGTCGGCCTGAAACAGTAAGGAATGAGAGGGGCTGGGAGACAGCACCTCCCGTCACCAGGAAGGATAAGGCTTGGGCTAGGGAACTAGGGGACAGAGAGCACTATGATGAGAGGTCCCCACCTGCAAAAACTTATATTCGAGGAGAGAATAATAATATTAAATAATAATCTGTAGCTCTCATGATAATACTTACTGGCACGGCATGTAGTCTGTGGGGCAGGTGGAGAGGGGAGTCAAGTGGAATTGTAGGAAATCTGTCAAAATACCAAAATCCAGAGAGTTTAAATTGAGTAACAACTGACAAATCTATGCTAGCTGGAGAGATTGCATCAGGGAGCAGCCCGAGCAGAGGCATGAAGACATGAAGGTACGTGGTGCAGCTGGAAACTGTGCAGCGGAGTGTGAGTGACTTTGAGAACTAGGATCCAAAATGAACCTTGAAAGAGAAACCTCATGTTATTCATGGAAGCTTTCAGTGGGACCTTAAAACTTCTCTACTGTCTTTCTACTGCCTTTTTTCTTTTTTGGCCTTTCTAACTCGGTCACTGACTAGGTCAGATATTGATGGCAGGCACAGCTTGTTACCCAGAGATGCGTGGAGTTCAGTGGTTAGGAGCACAGACTTCCTAGAACTGGGCTCAAATCCAGGCTCTGCCACTTAATTCAGTGTATCATCAGTTGCTGCATTCCCTCCTTCTGAGGTCTTTTTTTTTTTTTATAAGATTGATTTATACAAGAGCTGGGGTACATACCAGAGGCATGGAAGGGTGAGAGAATTCACCAGAAACAGAGCAGGGAGCAGAACAGGCAGACTGACTGAAAACATTGCTGAGGAGAGCAGTGGGCACAACTGGAGAGGTCTGCAGCGCCATGTGGGTAGCTCCCTGGCCAGCCGGGAATTGAACCCATGCCTCAGAGGCTGCGGACAGCTTCACAGCACTGCGCTCAACCCGCCACGCCAACGGGAAACCCCGCCCCCCACCTCGTGTGTTAGCTGTGCCATTCTGGTTTACCTCTCTTATGAGGGAAGTCTGAAGGCTTGGGGCCAGAGGATACACTCCCAAGATGCCTCACTCACTCACGTGGCAAGGGAGTGCTGGCTATGGCCAGAGGCCTCCGTTCTTCTCCCCAGGGCCTCTTTCAGAGGGCTGTTTGCGAGTCCTCTTGACGTGGTGGTTGGCTGACTCCAAAATAAGTTAGCCAGAAGAGCAAGGTGGAAGCTGCTGTGCTGTTCTATTAAGTCACCTTGGAAATCACTTGCTGTCACTTCCACAGCTCCTCATTGGCCACCAGGTCAGCCCAGTTCATTGAGGGGAGAGTTCTGAGCAGCCAGGCATGAATAGGAGATGGGATCACTAGGGTCTGTCTTGGAGCCTGGCTACTTTGGGTAAGTCCCTTCGACTGTCACAAGCTGGAAAGGAGCAGTGAACACCTCCTCCGGTGTGGTCACGAGGATTTGGGGAGATGAGGTCTCTAAAGAGCAGTGAGTGCCCCGAGTGACTCCTGGAAGCTTTAACTGTTCCTTTTTGGTGGTGTCCACCTTAGGCTGCCAGGAGATAGCAGAGGAATTCCGTGCCCAGGAAATTGACGGGCAAGCCCTGCTGCTGCTCAAGGAGGACCACCTGATGAGCGCGATGAACATCAAGCTGGGGCCGGCCCTGAAGATCTACGCCCGCATCAGCATGCTCAAGGACTCCTAGGGCTGCCTGCGCAGCCACGACCTGGCCCAGGGCTTTTCCTCCTGACTGAGCAGAGCCAGACAGACATTCCTGAGGGGCCCAGAAATGGGACCAGTCGGAGGGAAGAGGCTCTCCTCTGGGGCATGGCTGGTGAGGGGGTCTTGACACCTCCTCAATGGCTCTCAGGGGCCTTTCTTTCTGTGGGAGGGGCAGAGAGGCAGGTGGCACAGAAGATGGGGCTTTATGCTTGTAAATATTGATAGCACTGGCTTCCTCCAAAGTCCCAATACTCTAGCCCCGCTCTCTTTCCCTCTCTCTGTCCCCCATTTTCCAGGGGGTATATGGTCAGGGCTCCCCAACCTGAGTTGGGTCACTTCCCAGGGCAGCCGTCAGGCCTACATAGAGGCCTTGGATGCCCATGCCTGCCTTCCTCCCACTTCTTACTCCAGGCCTAGCTGACTCTTCCGTTGCCAGCTTCTCCCCCTTCAGCCTGTTTCTGAAGCAGCCAGGGGTTCTCCCCCATCATCCTCTGCAGGTGGAGAGAGAGAAGCTGGGCCCAGTTTGGCCAGGCCTGCTGGCACAGACGCCTTAACGCTGTGTGTATGACTGTATGACTGTGTGGGAGCCTGGACTGACAGATAGGCCCAGAGCCCCCCTTCTGGCATCTCCAGGTGTTTTGTAGCAAACAGCCACTTAGTGCTTTGTCCTGGACGCCACTCAGCCTCAAGATGGGGAATAGAAAAGACAGGCAGCTTCAGTGCAGAGAGGCGAGATCAGAGAGATGAAGATTAGGAGATGTTCCTTTCCAGACTTGACAGATGGCTCCAAAAACCCTTACCTGCACCGTGAAGCCCCCTGACTGTCCTGCTGTGTCACAGACAGAATTAAAGAACACGCCGGTGGGCTGGGTCGCAGCCCAGCAGGCAGCCTGTCCTCCTCAGGAGCCCACGCGGTTGTGTCCAGGGAACGCCTGAGGGGAGAGAAGAGCTGGAGTGACTGCTGATGAGGAGGAGGCAGCCCCTGGCCTCCTGCTCCCACACTTTGCCTCTTGAACTTGCTAGCAGTGATTTGAGCTCCCTGCGGAGGCGGCAGGGCAGGAAGGGCGAGGGCCTGCCTCCGACTTGCCCTGTCCTTGCAGGCCCCTGGGGAAAGAGTGGAACTCTCCCCAGAAGAGGGTGGGCACCTTTCTCAGCTTGTTCTATTCCCCACTCACACCCCCTGGCAGGGTTGGAAATGAAGGACTTTTTTAACCTTTTGTTTTTGTTTTTTAAAAATAAACCAGTAAAATCTGTTTTTTTCTGTGCCTTTCTCCCCTGGGGATGTCTAGCTGTAGTCCTTGGTGGCTACTTTTCACCCGTGAGAAGAGGGTGAGTCCTTAGGTAGGGGAAGGGACGCCGCCTAGCTGGCCAGCATATCCTCCACGCTGTACTGGGCCTGGGTCGTTTGAGGGCACTCTTAGGCCTGGTTCCCCAGAACCAGATACCTCCTGTTCACGTGGGCATCCCTTGGAATGGCATGGTCCAGAGCCCCCTACCTACCACTCCCACTGGGGAGAAGTTTCTGGAACACCTGGGCTAGAACCCACACTTCCCTCCCCCCAGCCCCGGGCAGTCACCTTCGGCTCTGCCACTCAGAGTCCAGACTGGCCTGTGTCACTCAGCACTTGAAGGTTGCTCGAATGCCGAAATGGTCACTAGAGCCTGGGTCCTCAAGGAGCAGAGGCACTGAGACACAGGCAGCTGAGCATGGGGAGTGAGGGCTGGCAGCCTGGACGAGGTGTGCCCACCTCTGCTGGCCTTGCTGACTGTGCCCCATGAACCAGGTCTTGTGCCAAAATAAGGCCTTCATGGGAAGCTGCCACCCCAGGCCCTGCCTGCATGGAGTTTAAATCTCCCTACATCTCTCCAGAGGAGGGGAAGGGAAGGGGGCAACTTGGCCTCCTGCTCCTGCCCCCGCCCCCATTGTCAACAGCAACTTCCACTTGATGAAAATGGATTTTGAGGCCCAGGCCCAACCTATTGAATCAGTCTCTGAGGCTGGGGTCCAGGAAGATAAAGCCCAACCAAGAGCCAAAGCCCATACCTGGATAACTCCTCAGGAAAGCCGGTTAAAATGTAACCACCACCTGCAGGAGGAGAAACACACTGATTAGCTGATTCCTGGGAGTGGAGCCAGGACTACAGGCAGCGGGGGCTGCTGAGGAGGCAGGGAGGCCAGCAGGACCCTGGCCCTGAGCTGAGGGGCAGTGAGGGGCAGAAAGTATCCTGGGGAGGGCCCCCCCCCGCCCCCCGCCTACCGGGGCCCTGCCCAGGCCCACAGGCCTGTGGGCAGGCATACTGTGGGCAAGTCTGCACTTCTGGACCTGGAGTTTCCCTCTGCCAGCCAGCCACAGGCCTCACCTGAGTTTGTCTTTATGTGTGTGGTAAAGACGGGAAGCTAAACTAACAAAGGACATGGTTGACGGGAACCTAAACTCCTAACAAAGGACACGGTGCCTTAAATAGGCCAACCCTGGCACTGTTTACTGGAGGCGAAAGGTCCCAAGCTTGGAAGTTTGGGGAGTACGCCCTTAAATACATACTTAATCCTGCACAGAATTTTGCAAACCTTTTACGATCATGACCCACAGTTTCAACAAATGTTTCCCTTGCTAGAAAGGCGACAAAAGATGAAAAAAATACACAAATATAGATGACAGAAGCAAACAATTTCACAGATTACCCACATGGACAATACATTCTGATACTTCAGTTCTCTTCCTGTTCAAACCTTTAAAATCTTGGTCACAATCCACGAAATTGACTTCAAGGTTTACCAAAGGATCCCGACATGTACTTTTGAAAACCCTGACCACAGAAAGCTTTCCAGAACTGTTCCATACTCATTCTCTCCCCTGGCTCTTACCCTGTCTCGGGTGCCCGGTGTTTGCACCCCATTTTACCAAGGACACAAAGAAGGACTCTTGGAGGTGAATTGTCCGGGGTCTCAGTCAAGTGCCAGTGCCACTTGACGGACACCCGGCCGAGGCTTCGTGCAGAACAGGGTTTTTCTCTGGGTGGAAAACCCCTTGCACAGCCCAGGACGGGCAGACACTGAAGAGGGGCACGAGGAACCCAGCGCGGGAAGAGCAGTCACCACAAAACAGCCAAGGCCCTGGGCGACCTCAGCTGGCCTTGGGGAAGTCCACCCTTCTCCGGGTGACTGGCACCACGGGGGTCCAGCACCCACCCCAGAATCAGCTTCCTCCAGTAAGTTTCTCTCTGGGCAGTTCATCCCTGCCCCCTCCTGCAGGCGTGGCCTGGAGCTGCTTTGTTCCCAGCCACTGCGCACACCTCATTTCTGTCCTGGCCTGAACCGGGAGGGCGCCTGGCAGGCTGTCCCATCGTCGCTGCGCCACATGGCTCTCAAGGAGGCATTCAGGTGAGTGGGGATGGTGGCAGTGGGGGGGTGGGGAGAGGGATGGCGGAGGGGGGTCCAGGGTTGAGGAGGAGGCACCAGTGCCAGCCCACTGAGTGCCAGCTGAGCCGTGTGGAGACGCCAAGGTGACGGAGGGGACAAGCACCCAGGGTTAGAGATGGTCTAACGGACGCTGGAGACGGACGCTGCTGTGGGGGAAGACCCCGCCCTAGGAGCACCTGCAGACCGTGAGGCGCTTCTCTTAACTCTGAGCTCCCCCTGGTGAACCAGAAATCAAAGGTCAGGGGGCGCACCCCTACTGAGTGTTCTCTCTCCTCCCACTAGGACTGGAAATTTGTTCCCACTTAATGACTGATCTTTAGCCCCTTTTTGAAAGCAAGGAGGGTACAAGGAGGGGGGCTTAGGGTAGGATTAAAGGACCCCCTTCTACAGGTAGAGGTGTGCTGAGGTCCTGAGGTCCTGAGCAGGGGTCTCTATGGACTGAGGGCTCCCAGACTGGGACATAGGAAGGGCAGGCCTGGCTCTTAGCACCCGCCTCCTGGACCGGATAGTCTGTGCCTACCTGGGCCACTTAGGGCCCACTCTGCCTCGCTGCCCTGAGGGCTGTGCCCAAGATAAGCATCAGCTTGCCCTGGCTGGGTTCAAAGGGACTGAGGAGAGGGTTGGGAGAGCAGCAGAGGGCAGCGAGAGGGCTGCTCCAGCCTTTTCGTGCCCCTGCAGCACAGACTGTGCCTCCAGCCATCCAGGAGCCTGGCATGGAGCTGCGAGAGGAGAAAGGAAGGCTTCTTGGCCAGAGGGACTGGCCAGGAACCGAGGTGCTGGGCAGGGACAAGCCTGTAGGGAATGGTAACCGAGCCAGGCATCCTTGGGAGATAAGCCCCCGGGGATGAGGGGGGACCAGGTCATAAGACGCCCCAAAGTCATGCTAAGGATTCTGGGCCAGGAGTCATTCAGCCCTAAGGTCAAACCTCCCACACTTGCCAGTCTGGGAAAGGGAATGAGGGATAGGAAGCTGCTCCGCTTACTGAAAACAGAGTTACAAACAGGCCGACTATGAGGCGAGCTCCCGGGCTTGGCTCCTAGGACTTGAGGGCTAGGAAGCCGGGAAACACATGGCCTCGGGGAGCAGCCACCTGGTGTAGCCTAGCGAGGGCCGGAGTGGCTCTGTGCACCCGGGAGCAGGCACGAGCAGGTGGGTGTCGAGGAAGCTGGCTGTGGAGACTGACTCGGAGCCTGGTGGCCGTTTGCTGGACAAGACCCAACTGGGCAGAGAGAGGTGGGGGGCCTGAGGATTGTGGCTAGTGCAGACTGTCACAGAGTCTGCATGGCAAACAATGAGTCCGCCCAAGGGGTGTGGAGGAGGGAGTGTCGGGTTACAGAGGAGGCAGAAGCCACAGAACCTGGTGACGACAGAGGGAGGAGGGGTCCCGCCTAGTAACTGGGACCAGGGGGGGGGGGGGGTACGGCAGCTTGAGAAGCGCTGGGGTGTCTCTGAGACACCCCAGTGGACACGGCTGTCCAGGAGACACACGATGGTCCCGTGCTTGATCAGGGGCTGCTGGAGACAGACTTAGGAGTCCGCGGTAGAGACAAGCCAAAGGGTGAGATGACACACGGGAAATGGTAGCTGATCCAAAGGACAAGCCTCGCCAAGGTGAGGGGACAGGCTGGGGGGAGGGCAGTGGGCAGGGAAGAGAGGCGGGAGGGGGCCTGCAGGGCCCAGTAGCCAGGCTGTGCAGACTGGAGCCCAGGATGTGGATTTCATGCTAAGAGCAAAGACACGGGGGAAGAGGATGCGCTCATGGCTTTGCAAGTTCACTCTGGGGAATGAGTTGTTGAGGGGCCAGAAGCAAAGGGGCTGGATGGGCCTGTCGCATGGGGCCTGAGAGATGAGGAGTCAAGGACTCCAAGGCCTCAAGTTGAGAAAGAGAGGGTGTCCCTGCCATTTTCCAAGACTGGGGAGGCCTGAGTAGGGAGCTGGTCTTTGAGGAAAATCGAGTGTTCCTTTTGGGGCTTCTGAGTTTGAGATGCTCGTGAGACGGGCTGACAGCAACGTTCCCAGGTGCCCACTCTCAGCCCACCCTTGATCCCCGGCCATGGACCATTCCTGCCAGAGGCTCTGGGCAGGGGTTGGCCCCGCCTCACTTCCAGGAGGGGCTTCTGAGAGAGGCTGCACTGTAAGGAGGTATCTGGCGTCTGTCAGGGGCCTGGCACAGAACTCCTAAAGCCCCCGGAATTCCCTGGAAGGAGTGTCTTCTGCTCTCCGTAACCAGCGCATCACAGCTAGTCTGTGCTAATGAGGGGCTGGGGCAGCCTCCCTTGCTAGTCTTGGGAAGGGCTGGTTTTCAGAGAGACCAAGTGTTGAGGGCTGCAGCCCCATCCCGATCTCAGGGGCACAGGGGCGGGGGGCTGCTGAAGACCAGATTATGAAACTCTGGAACAGCAATGTTCTGAGCGCACCCAGGAGGGGGAGCACATCCATGTGCTGGGAGGGCACCGCCCCCCAGCTCCACAGGGCCAGAGCGCCTGCGCTGGGAACCCTTCTGGACCTCATTCAATACACTCGTTACCAGGCGTCATCATGGCCTTCGTAATAAGCCAGTAAATGCAAGTAACGCTCCTTCTTAATTCTGTGAGCCATTCTAGCAAATCATTGAGCCAAAAGAGGGGGTGCAGAGACCCCCCAATTACAGGAAGAAAAACAGAGAGACTAGTCAAGGAGCCAGAAGTTCGAGGACCAGGGATGTGTGGCATCTGAAGTGGGTGGGAGCAGGCTCGGGGACTGAACTCTAACCTAGGGGACCTGGGGCTCGCGCTGGGCAGGCAGCATTGAACAGAGCTGCTGGACACCCACGTGGTGCCAGGGAACTGGACGTGGGGCTGGGAAACCACAGGGGATGGCTAGGGCAGAAGGGGGAGCTGGGCAGAAACACATCGTTTTCTTCCCTTAGATTAACAAAAGTCGCAGCCCCTCATTGTACCATCAAACATTATACAAGTGTGTTGAGCAAGAAGGGGACATCCCCCCAGGGTCAGTCCACCACGAAGGGGTGTGTCTCCTGAATCCACCCAACACGGCGGCCCCCAAGCACCTGGCTGACTCCACTCGAAATGTGCCGTCAGCCTAAAGCACACACGGGGTTCAGTCTTTAGACTTAAGACTAGCACGTAAAATATTTCAATGGTTTTTCTATTGGTTACACGTTGAAATAATATTTTGGGTATACCCTGGGTTAAATTTAATTAATAATCAGTGTCACCCATTTCTCTTCGCTGGGTTACTGTGGCTATTAGGAAATGATAAATGGAGGGGCTCGTGCTGTATTTCCAGGGGGAGAATGCCGTTCTAGATCATTCCCCGCACACTTTAGAAAAGAGCAGCGATGAGCCTGTCCATTCATGCGCGGGCCACGGGTCACAGAAGGGCGATCAGCCTCGGTGCAGAATTCCGTTGTTTCCACTGGGGCTTTTCCAGAGAGCACGTCTACGTCTACCTCATTCTCCGCAAGGCCAGCTGGCCTTCCCCCGTGTGAGTACACGCGGTTCACACCCAGCGCCCCTGCGCCAAGCACTGGGGTTCATACCCCTTTGCTATTTCAAACGATGCTACCAGACATCCCTGGGCCCCAGCGGGACCTTGGCCCGCTGCCGCAACGCCATCTCCACGGGCGGGAAAGCCGGTGGCTGTGAGCACTGAAAATGTGCCCGTTGAGGAGCCAGACTTGGAAGGCTTCTCAGGCAAGGCTGAGAGATGTGGCTTTTATCTTACAGTTGTTCGGAAGGCTTAAAATGACTTGGTGTTTTTCTAGATTGCTAACTGTGTTTTCCCTTCATTAAAAAGCAATATTAGCCCCTTCTAGATCATGGAAGGGAGGGGCTCAAGGAGAAAAATCTACTATAACTTATTGCACAGACACATATGTTTTTCCTGTTAGCCTTATTTTCTGGTGCATGTTTTTATTCTTGCTAAATTGTAATCCTAGTGAACGTCAATTTTAGATCCTGCTTCTTTCAATGTAAGGTTTTTGAACAAACACTTTTCCATGTGATGACAGAGTCTTCATACTAAGTCTGCTCGGCCGGACCCTATGACTGGACACCGGGCCCCCTTCAGTTATATACAGAATGTCCTTCCCTGAATGCTTCCCGTCAGCACTCTCCCACGCTCTCCCTGGGGTGAAAGGACCATATGCATCCCCCCATCAGTCCTGACCCCTCAACCCCCAGTTACATCTGGTCTCTCCTCCTCATGGTCAAACTTGTGGGAAGAGTCGCTTCTTCCTTGGCTCCACCCCTGCACCTTTGCTCACTCCCCTGACAGCTCTGCAGGCCCCTGCCAGCACCGCCAGCGCCCCTGAGCCCTAGTCTCTGAGCTCTGCCCCTCTCCCGAGACACCCCTGCCCCCTCAGTGCATCCCACAACTCTCCTGAGCCTGCCAGCCTGCCAAGCCCTAGCCCCCGGCCCCAACCAGTCAGGCTAATGACCAAGTCTTGCCCACCCCACCTCCCGGACAGCCCTGCACCACCTACTTGTCCCCCGATTCCACTGACAACATCCTGATTCATGCCCCTGCAAACTGGCGCTGCCCTTGAACCTGTCCTCCTGCCTCTGGCCTTGGCCTCCCCTGCCTCACCCTGGCAGGTCCGGGCTCAACAGCTCCACTGAGGCACTTGTTTTCAAACAGAACTCTGCCTACAAAATCCCCTGGAGGAAACACCTTCCGGGGTTCCCCAGGCCCTCAAGATGACGTCCAAACCCTCGAGCCTGGAATGCCATCCCTGGGTGATCAGGCCCAGGCTTAGCTCGCGTCTCAACTCCCACCGCTCCCTTGGCCCGCACCACTATGGCTCAGGTGCGGTTCCAGGTACAGTCCGAGCTTTCTCTCACCTCCCCACTCCTGCACATTGTTGCTTTCCTTCCTCCCTCCCTTCGCCATCCACTGCCTTCTTTGCCAGGATAACTCCTAATTCTTCAGGTCCCATCTTATGGGTTACCTCCTCCAGGAAGCTTCCCTGACTTCCTCTCCCTCTGTCAAGGCGCAGGTGCCAAGCTCAAATCTGCCCTCCTGGCATCTTGTATTTGTCCTAATCAAAGCTACACTGTGCCATGTTCCATTCACCTGTCTGTTGTCTGGTATCTGACACAGCCCCTCTCTTGCTGGCCCCCCATATCACCCTGACACCACTCCCTGAAAACAAAACGTGTTTCTCCGTCACCCCTGAATCCCTGACCTCGCACAGTGCTCGACTGAGTTTGTGCCCTTAAATATGTCAAATGCATGACTAAACAGAAAGCAGTGGTCCTGATGCTGAAACGCCTCATACTGAAGATGATATCCTTTGAATGGGTTCCCAGACACGGGGTTATTGGATTAAAGGGGATATATATAAAAAGCTTCACTTCCCATAGCTAAGTAGCTTAAAAAAAAAAAAAAGCTACCACATCTAGCAGACGCAAGAGTGTCTATCTCACCATGTTCTTGCAGCTCGGCTATTTTCATGTCTTTCTTTTTGAAAAGAGCTCATTTTCTAAGCAAAGCATAAGCATGCCACCTTGCTCTAATGTGTATGTCTCTGCCAGTAATCAAAGCGAGGGTGTGGGGGTAGGGGGGTGTTTTCCATACGTTTGCCTACTAAATGCATTGCTGCTATGAGGATTGACCTGCTCGAGTGAGAGACACAGCCAGGGCAGACTGAGAGGTAGTGACAGGACTCTGCGGGCTGTGCAAGGGGCGACTCTTGGCCTGGGAGGGGGGAGGCTGCTGCAGCAGTCCTGGTGAGGCGGTGGGGGTGGGGGGCCGGTCCCTGCAGGCCTGGGGGAACAGGGCAGGCAGAAGGAGGGGATCAAGAAGGCCAAGTCAACTCCCCCAGGACTGCCCAAAAAGGCTGGGGAGACAGAGGGAGAAGCTGGGGTGCAGCCAGGTATCTGGCTTGGCCGAGTGACCAGGAGGAGGTACTGTGCACTCAGAGGGGCACAGGTGGATGCCTCGCAGAACCACTGGCTAGAGGCACCTGTCGAGGGGTGCTGGGGCAGGGCAGAAAAGGCAGGGGCAGAAGGGTCTCGAAGGCCAAGGGCAGCAGGGGCGGGCAGGCAGAGTTCTCAAAAGAGATGGGGGGGAGTTGGGGGCAGATTTTGGGAGGACTTGTAGGCCAGGGAGCGGAGTTGGGAGGTTTGTCCAGGGGATCGGTTGGGGTCTGTTCAGGACTAAGAACATAAACAATAGCTAAAGCTTACTGAGCCGTCACTACGTTTGGGCCTTGTGCGAAGAGCACACGTGCGCTCTCCGCCCACAGCAGCCCTCTGGGATTTCTATTACCCACATTTTGTAGATGAAGAAACGCGTTCCAGACCCAGAAGCTTATCCAAACCCAGAAAGCCGGGCAGGGGTGGAGGCCGACTGGAGCCCGGGGATCTGCCCCAGTGGTCCTGCCATGCCCCTCACGGCAGGGTTCCAGCCTCTCTCGAGGGACGGGCACACACGGGGAGAGAACTGAATCAGCTCTCCAGAAGCTAATAAAGAGTCTCGACTTTGGGGGCCCCTTCCTGGAAAACCACCAGCCATGGACAGATCCCAAAGTCCACCTCCTCTGGGCCAGGAACGGGGCCACTGAGCTCTGCTGGAAGAACCCAGCCTGGTGACACATGGCTGCTCCCTCCAGCCCCGCAACTCATCTCTAACCCCGACTGCTCCCATGCCCAAGGTCATTCTCACCCCCGCCCAGGCGAAGCAACCTAACCTGAAGTGCCTCAAACCTGCTCAAGGTCATGCCCCACAGCACTGCTCCTCAGAAGGCCTGGCTACCTGGAGCAGGGCGCGGCAGACGGCTGGGAGCCAGGCGAGGGAGCACAGCAGGCGCTGAGGTGTGCCCGCCCCATGTGCCCGCCCCTCTCGAGAGACTGGAACCCTGCCGTGAGGGGCATGGCAGGACCACTGGGGCAGATCCCCGGGCTCCAGTTGGCCTCCACCCCTGCCCGGCTTTCTGGGTTTGGATAAGCTTCTGGGTCTGGAACGCCAGTTTCTTCATCTACAAAGACCTCCAAGATGCAGCCCACGGAAAGGGCAGGGTGAGGCGTGGAGCCTGTGCGTGGTGCTGCGTGGAGGGGAGGCACAGGAGGACAGGACAGAACCTGCCACCTGTCCTAGCTGCGTCCGCACGACGTGCACAGATGCTCCCCGCAGCACGTGCCAACCTTAACGGCGCAGCCTCGGTGCAGAGCCAGGGCCGGGGCAGGAGAGCGCGTGTGCTCGTCCGACCCAGGTGAACAGACGCTGTTCTGCGCACTCAAAACATGCAAATACAGCGAAACATCCAGGTGACTCATCTTCCACATACGCCTGCACATGGGCCTGTGTGTACACAAATGAGCTGCTGATGTGCCCCCCACCCCCCAGGGCCTGGAAGAGAATCATCAGGCGGCTGATCCTACTTGCACTTGGCCTCTTAGGGCTGCGCCTCTACGGGCTCCCTGTCATCAGGTACAAACCCCACCCCCGCACTGGAGGGTGGCCACTAAAGTGGCCATCATGGCCCAGGCATGAGTCCTTGGGGCACGCCCTCCTTGTAAGGAGCAGAGAGGTCTGAGCCAGCTGGCCTGCCCCTCACTGCTGCCCCCACCAATAGGCATCTGGACATCCTCATCCCCATGGGTGTCTGCCCTTTGGCCAAAACGTCCCTGTTGAGAGACAACTTCACAGGTCTCCTGCGACCCTGGTAAGGAGCTACACCCACCCCCACTCCGCCCCTAGGTGCCAGGCACCAGCACTCCTGGCCCCCCAACCCCCTTCCCTGGCAAAGTCAGGTACTCCACCCAGTGACCTCCATCAGGTCAAACACTGCCCAACTGTCAGCCCGAGCTAGGGATTTCCAGGGGCAGGGACTGTGTCTAAACCCTCTGGGAGTCCCCAGGGCCCCACAGTGGGGGTGGGGCAGTGAGCAAATACAAGTGGGAGGGTGAACGGAGCTGTCTTCCCATCCCTGTCCTGGCCAGGGCCAGGCCTGAAGTCCTGACCTGTACCTCCTGGGGGGCCCCCATTGTTTGGGATGGCACTTTTGATCCAGATGTGGCCCAACAACAGGCTAGACAACAGAACCTCACCATCGGACTCACTGTCTTTGCTGTAGGCAGGTAAGGCCGGGGGCGCGGGGGGGAGGGCAGGGAGGTGGGCATGTGATGTAGGGTGGTGGGGCACCCTGTTTCCCAAGACAGCACCCCTTGTCCCAGATTCCCCAGCAGAGGGCAAGGCCATCCTTCCCCTTCCATTCCCCCCTGGACACCACCCAGCACAGGCAGCCAGGGGCACGGAGCCATCTCCACCAGGGAGGCTGCCCAGGGGCTGCGCTGATGCATCTGGGTCTGGGGGTGAAAATGGTCTTTCAGAGGAGGGTGGGAGAGCAGCCAGCTACACAGAGCTGCAGGGGCGCCACGGAGGCCAGAGCTCAGGTCAACACCCGCCAGGAGGGTAGGTCCACCTGGCAAGTGGGATGGAGGGAGGGGGGCTGGGGAGCTGAGGGTTCCTGCCAGGGAGAGAATCTGAGCTGCGTAAAGAGGGGAGGGGGGGGGGGGGGGGGGGGGAGGAGGAGGACACTGAGAAACTGGTAGGGCCGGTCGTGGGTGGGACCCTGGGAATGGCATCACAGGAAGGGTGGAGCTCACAGCGCAGGGCAGATGATGACGACCCAGTCAAGGGGGTGCCCCTGGGGCAGGGAATGGCATCACAGGAAGGGTGGAGCTCACAGCGCAGGGCAGATGATGACGACCCAGTCAAGGGGGTGCCCCTGGGGGCAGCTAACTGAGGGTGGAGAACAGCATCCATGCTAGAAAGGAGGCTCATTGAGAAAGCACCTGGGCCATGGGTGAGCCCCCAGAATAGAGGAAACTGGGAGTAGCAGGTAGAGAAATCCCAGGGGCACTGGCCTCCCTGGTAAGGTGGTAATGGGGCCCACAAGGGGTGTCCGCATTACAGAGGCGATGCAAAAGGGGAACTTCTAGCTATGCACGGCCATCAGACGCCCTGGCCCTAAGGTACAGAGAGGCAGTGCTCAGAGAATTAAAGGAAGGTTTCCCGGAGTGGCACAGGCTGCTCTGGGAAGGCAGTGAGCGTTCTGCATCCAGGAAGAGGTATCTGCGAGTCTGTGATCACCTACATCACACAATGACTCCAGGGTCCCCGACAATGGAAGGGAGACAAAGCCAGGAGCTTCCTCTGGGAGGCAAGGGAGCAAATATGCCTCCAGGCACAAGGGCTGACCAACTGCTGGGCTTCTCCAAGGCCCTGGGGCCCTGCCACTGTTCTGGGTGTTCCTGCCTAGGCCCCAGGGGTCAGAGTTTCCGGGTCTACAATTCCAGGGCCTGAGAGCCTGAGTTCCAAGTTTCTGTGAATCTACCCCACTGGGATGCTGAGGCTTCTGAGGCCTCTGCAGTTTCTCCTTGTTCCACCAAGTACAGAGCAAGCGCAGACCAAAAGGCACAGGGGTCAGCACTAACCTGGGTTCAAATCCCGGCTCCACCACGTCCCAAGCGCATGCGCTTGCTCAAGTCACCACAGCTCTTTGTCACCGTTTCCTCATCTGAAAAACAGAAACAAAAATCAACAGTGAGGAATAAATGAGGTCACCCACCTTGACTCAAGACCCTCTGCCATGCGGTATCTATTCAAATGTAGTAGGCGTTCTTGCTGTTCTTTAGGACCCTAGAATCCCAACGTCTGTTCACACAAGGTTTCCGGCGTCCTGGTCATCTAGATAAGGAATTACCACAAACTAGGTGACTCTGAACAACACTGTCATTATTAGCGCTCAGGGTTCTGCAGGCGGGGAACTAGGACAGGGCTGCCCAGCAGGGCCCCTCATTGCCCCCCCCACAAAATGTCTGGAACTCTACTGAGAGAGCTCAGTGCCGCAGGCTGGCGGTGCCTCTCCACACAGCCTCTCTGGGTGCTAGTGGGGGTCTCCTCACCTGGATGCAGCACCAAAGCTCTGGGGTTTCCCATAGAAGGCTCAGGGCTCCAAAGGCTGAGCTCCAGGCTTCAGGGAACTCTGCTGAGCCATGCAGATGGGCAGAGCCCACCTTGAGGGCAGGAGTGGCAAACAATTTGCAATGGTCCTCAGTTCACCTTGACAGATTCTGGGATTGGAGGGTTCTGGAGTTCCAGAGACTGAAGTGATAAGGCCCAACACAAGCCTGGAACTCAGGACCTCAGGACCCTGCAATTTCCAGACCAGGAACCTGTGACCCCTGGGGCTACACAGGAATACCCTACTTGGCACCCGGGGCAGAAGGGGAACAGAGAGGCCAAGGCCCCAAGCAGCCCAGCAGTTCTGTCCACCTGGCCTAAGGGACAGCCCTTGCTGTCGCAGTTTGCCGCCTTCCTTCCCGGGGGGCCTCCTGGCTTTCGCTGTCTTCTAGAGGGGGGCGGGGGTAGGGCGGAGAAGCAGGGCCTCCAGCAAGGATGCTGCGCCAGGACTAGGAAGCCCCAGGTGGGCAGGGGTGGGTGACCGAGGCTGCCACGCAGGGCACCGCGTCCCGTTGACTCTGGGGCCCTCCCTCCGGGCAGGTACCTGGAGAAGTACCTGGCGCGCTTCCTGGAGACGGCGGAGCAGCACTTCATGGTGGGCCAGCGCGTGGTGTACTATGTGTTCACCGAGCGCCCGGCCGCCGTGCCCCGCGTGGCGCTGGGCCCGGGCCGCCTGCTGCGCGTGGAGCGCGTGGTGCGCGAGCGGCGCTGGCAAGACGTGTCCATGCAGCGCATGCACACGCTGCACCGGGCGCTGGGCGGGCGGCTGGGCCGCGAGGCGCACTTCGTGCTCTGCATGGACGTGGACCAGCACTTCAGCGCCGCCTTCGGGCCCGAGGCGCTGGCCGAGTCGGTGGCGCAGCTGCACGCCTGGCACTACCGCTGGCCGCGCTGGCTGCTGCCCTTCGAGCGCGACGCGCGCTCGGCCGCCGCGCTGGCCCCGCACGAGGGCGACTTCTACTACCACGCGGCGGTGTTCGGGGGCAGCGTGGCCGCGCTGCGGGCGCTCACGGCGCACTGCGCGCGGGGCCAGCGGCGGGACCGCGAGCGCGGCCTGGAGGCGCGCTGGCACGACGAGAGCCACCTCAACAAGTTCTTCTGGCTGCACAAGCCCGCCAAGGTGCTGTCCCCCGAGTTCTGCTGGTGCGCGGACATCGGCCGGCGCGCGGACATCCGCCGCGCGCGCCTGCTCTGGGCGCCCAAGGAGTACGCGCGGCTGCGCCACTAGCCGCTCCGGCGCGGGCCCGGGCGAGGCGGCCCACGCGGGGCCGGAGGGAAGCCGCGTGCGGTTCCCGGCTGAGAAAGATCCCGTGGGCGAGTGGGAGCAGGCGGTCCTGGCTTTGGGGGAGCTTTTCGGTTTAAGAGAAGGGTCCCCTTTCCATGCAGGAGTGCCTGGGGGGCTTAAGCTGCCCCTAGACCTTGCTCCTCTGGGCTGCTGACTGCAGCGGGTGCCTTCGGAAGAGCTGTTTTCATGGTTCCCCTGCCTCTACTCTCTGATGAGGCAACTGATAGACCAAAGGAAGCTGTAGGGAAAGAGGTTAAGTCAGGCCTGTGTATGCGCTCCCGCCCAGCCTCTATGGCCAGCACCTGCGGTCTGGCACTCCTGGCTTGCCTTGCCCGCGGATGCCCGCCGAGGGGCTTGAACACCTTTGATTCCAGACACTTGGGCTGAGAAGCCAAACAGCAGCAGCGTGAGCTACGTGAATGCGGACACCTGTGCCTGGAAGCAAGGGCTTAAAGGAGCCCCTCGGCTCTGGCAGGGAGCTTGGGGTCACTCTGAGGCTAGGGGGCTCAGTTGCCATCTCCTGCCGGCTGGGCCGGCCCCTGACTCAACATTAAAGGCCTGTAAAATGATACCGAGGGCTCCAAAATTCTCTTTCCATCCGTGAGAATCAACAGTGAACCTGGGGGTGGTTGCACGGCAGAAGCATAACTGCCTAAGCCACGAGGGCCTCTGAGCCTGCAGTGAGGTCCGCATCAGGGGCCAGGACTGGCCCTCGGGTCACGTAGAGCTGCCTCTGCGCCTGAACCACAGAGGAGAGGCCAGGGTGTGCCCTATTCTTTGGCGTTGCCCTTCCACCGCCCCCATCATTAAGCAGAGTGTAGGGTAGGTGAAAAATTGGCTTTTTTCTGCCCCCCTGCCACTAGCGTGGATGCCTGGGGCAGAGGAACATGGGCATGTGCACCTGTAATTGTGGACATCTGGCGCAGAGAGCAGGGCGCATGCCTGTGAGTGCAGCACCTGTGCCGGGAGGCCAGGGGTAAAAGGGCAGCGACGCTCTGAGACGGAACTACCACTGCGGGAGGACGGCTCTGAGCAGAGACCGTGAGACTGAGAACACTAGAGAGAGGCCAGAGAAAGAGAGCAAAGATTTGCCAGTGGCTGGGAGGCTTGTCAGCTTGCCAGACTCGCAGGCCCCCAGCTCCTGCCCCCCGCCCCGGCCCCTTAGCCCTCCTACCCAGCCTGTGCCTGCCTCCTTGCATGCCATCTCCTGCCTGGCACTCCTGTGTACCTGGTTCCCTGAGAGAGTATTAGAGGCCTGAAAAAAAGTCCAATGAGGGCTCCAGGACTCTCTTTACGTGTCTGTCCAAATTGGCCGTGAGCCTGCCTGGTGCATGCTTGCCCTGGACAGAGTTTGTAGGTATTGAATATAGTAAGGTCCCCTCCGAAATCCCTGGGGCCTATCCCCTGGAGATTGAAAGTCCACAGAAATGACAGTTCCTTGTCCCGGGGGCGCGCAGGCTCTCTGACGAAGGCAGTTTTCCTCCTCCTCGCCTGGCGGAGAAACAGACTCTGAACGGGAGCGTGGAGTGGGCAGGCGCTCCAGGAGAGGCAGGCACAGGGCCAAGGCTATACGGAAGCCCCTGAGATGGTGACAGTGGGAAAACTGAGGCCCTGGCAAGGCGGGCTTTCACTGCAGGTCTCCCAAGTCCTTTATGGGGTGTTCTCCTAGACCTTGCATTTTTAACAGCCTGCACTGTCCCCAGGTAGGGCAGCCATTCCAGCTAGTCACCTCATGGCTTTTACAATATGATCATATAAAAAGCAGGTTCCGTTATTGATGGTAGGAAACAAGAGATGCCTCCCCTTTCTAAAGCAGTTCAGAGTTCCCCAGGGCTCCTGCCTAAATTATTAGCAAAATCCAAAAGGCCTCTGGATCTGGATTAGAGCGGAGACCCGGGCAGGTGTGCCTAAGAACAGGTGATCAGGTGACAACCACACGCTGGTACGTCCCCTCTGGGAGGGGACCAACAGCACCTTCCTGTTTGAAGGAGGAAATGATGGCACAGATATTCTGGTCACAGCGACAGGTTCGGGCAGTTTCTGGGCCAGCCCCATGCAGGGAGACCCAGTTAGACTTTTACTGGGGCGTCTTGGAGAGAGAGGCTTGACTGCTGGAAACCTGGGGCTGCGAGGCTGGAGCTGCTGTCCTCACAGAGCTGAGGATGAGGCTGCCAGAGAGCAGAGCGGGTGAGCTGAAGACACAGCAGGGAGTCAGCAAGCTGCTTGATGTCTGCACTGTCCCACTTCCTGAGTCAAACACCCCCGTTTGGACCGGCCTTTCCTTCACCTGCAGCCAAGCTGAGTCACTGTCTCCCTCCACACCTGGTACACGCCTAGCACACGCCTAGCACGGGGCCAGCACTGACGGGCTCTGGGGAAATCAAAACACTGGCCCCGTGGCGACCACAGAGATGAAGGGGACACCTCAGTCCCCTCCATCACCAGAAGTTTCCAGCAATCAGGGCAGCGGGGCAGAACGGCCAACAGCGGCAGGTGGTGGAGCCGGCTGCCCCTCTGGGAGCAGGGGCAGGGCCCTTTCTGGTGGCCCGGTGTGTGCGCAGAGGCTTCAGCACCGCACACGGTGAAATGTCTGTCCCTGCCATTTAATTGCAACGTGACCTTTGGCAAAAACCAAAACCAACCTCTCCTGGCCGGCTGCCCACTTCACAGGGGGTTGTGAGGGAAACACCAAGCACTCCGCTCAGCAGCTGGAGCGGGGCTGGGGGGCTGGGAGGGGCGGGGAGCAGAGGAAGGGCCCCCCAGCCCCGCCCTGGCACAGAGCACGCCACACGCTGCCACCGGGTGCAGGAACGGTTTATTCTTAACAGAGAAATACACAGAGCAGAGGGGGTGGGATTCCTGTTTCTTGCCCCCTTTAGTGTTTGCCCCCACATTTGCGTTTTGTTTTGCTCCCCACCCCTTTTCCTAAATAGAATGCCAACTTCTTTCCTGCGGCGTCGAGGGGCACCTGCCCTCGCCTCCCTGTCACCACGATGCAGACTGAGAAGCCGACAGACTGTTTTCTCTTTTTTAATAAGGTAACTAGTTCTAGATACGGTGGCCTGGAGGTCCCATAGAAAAAAGCAAAGGGGTGTTAACAGCATGGAGAACAGCGTATTTACAGGGGAGTAACATGCGGACGAAAAGCTACAATACTGAGTATCAGACGCAAGTCAAACAAAGGGGCAGGGGCGGGGCGGAGAACCCCACGGGAAAAGAAACCCCAGGAAACGTTAAACTGGTAAATCAATGGCGAGTTAAGGCTTAAAAAGTGTATAAAAATAACACAGTTAATATTCAAAACGGAACTCCAGATACAGAATATATAGATGAGTTTCTGTCTAGTTTTCTTTTCTCTTTCCCGGGGGATGTCGGGGGGCTTCTCCGGGCTCTGTACATATAGTTCCTATATACATGGACACGCATGGCTTTCAGATTGGGGTGTGTCTGTGGGGGCTGAGGGCAGGGTCTGCTCCCGGGACCCTCCTCCCCGAGGATCCCTTCCCAGCCGGGGGGCGCCTAGGACCTGGGCTGGAGATGGCCCCTCCAGCAGGGAAGACGAGTGGCCCCTCCCTGGGCGCTGCCCCAGCTGGAGGAAGTTCTGGGGAGGGGGTCCTCAGCCCCAGGCCTGCTCCCTCCCCATCCCCCTGCCCACAGTCTGGGATGGGGGGAGAGGTAGCCGATAGATTTCCTGGCCAGCACCGAGGTAGACTGGGGTGGTCTTCAGGGCGGGGGGGCCAGGTCTTACCCAACCCACTCCCACCCCATTTCCCTGGGCCTGCGCCCAGCCCAGCCCCACGCCGCGCCCTTTGGTCCTGCGCATCTCCTGGTCCCTCTCTCGTTTCTCGTCCGAAGCCTGGGCAGCCCTGCTGGCTGCCCCATCCCTCTGCTCAGTGATGCCCAGGGCACAGCTCAAGCGGTTGAGCTGGGCACACAGGGCTGAGTGGCTCACTCCAGCTGCTTCCTGCCCCGTCCCACCTGGGGGCCCTCTGCAGTCCAGAAACCCAGGCCGGAGCCTTCCCGCGAGACCCGAGGCCGTGGCAAGAGGCGGTCCCCCGCTGCCCTCGGGTGCTCTGTGTCCATCTGTCCGATTCTTTTCATTTCTCGGTCTTAGCAGCACCAACTTCTTGGCCAATAAATATCTTTTTTGTTATTTCCAAAACAAACTTAAAAAAAAAAAAAAACAGTGAAGCAAGTGAAGGGTGGGGAACAAAAAGAAAACCCAACAGAGGTTCAAAGTGCTCTGAGATCGTCTTTGGATGCCACCAAAACAGTCCAGAATCTTGCAGTTGGCCTGGCCGCCCCCAGAGCTGGACCGGGCCGGGCTCCTGCGGCCCAGGCTTTCTGGAAGGTCAGGGAGGTCATGAGAGAGCTCGGCTGTTCCTGGAAGGCCCCTGGAGGGAGGCGGGCCTGGTGATGCCTGGGTCTGGGTCAGCCAGCGGGCAGGGCGGGGCGGTGCCTTGGGGCGGCTCAGATGAGGGAAATTCGCACCGGGATGCCAGGAGACTCCGTCCTCTGGGGCGAGTGATGGCTCACCAGGTGCTCCACCACCGTGTGTTTGGACATGTGCTTCATCAGGTAGGTCTCCTGTGGGCAGGAGAGAGGTGGGACTTAGAACACCTGCGGGCAGGGGACACGGGAGGCTGCAGTTCCCACCGCGGCCACTGGAGGGCTCCTTAGCAGGCGGCCAGCCAGCGGGGAACAGACACAGCTGGGCGGGTCAGCTGGGCATAGGGATTCTGCACTGACACCAGGGAGGGGGCTGGTTCATTTATCAGAGTCTGGGTGCCTCGAAGTACCATTTACCAAGTGGCTGTGTGTGGGCCAGCCTGGCCTACCCCCTCTGGCCGGTGGTCCCAGTGTGGGCGGGGCGGTGGGACAGGGTCTGGGCCTAGTGCTGCCAATTCTCAGCGGTGGAGTCTTGGAGTCTTGTGGGGGTGGGTCTCACCCCACCCCTCCAACTCCAAGCACTTTCCCTCTGTGCAGGCAGTGGCGGGAAGACCCCTCGAGGGTCTCCTCTGTGATGGCGCAGAGCCCTAAGTACGCAGTAACAGCGAGGACCACTCCTTCCTGGTCGCCAGGCTTCGTTCCAGGTGGTAGTAGGAGTCCTGGCCTCTGCACCCCTTGGGGAGAAGATGGGGCTGATCTGATGGTGATCCTGGGAAGCATAAACCGGGCGTGCCCATAGGCTCTGCCTGCGGTACCCATGACTAGGTGGGGAGGTGCCCCAGGCTGAGCTGCCTCAGTCACGTGAGCTCCACCCCCGACCCAGAGCTTAGGCAGAGGGGCTGAGAACCACAGTGGGAACTGTGGGAGTCGAGGATGTGGGCCTGGTACTGGTTGAGTGGGGTATCCCCACAACCCCGCTTGGGGCCCTCATCCCTGCAGGCCCTGCCCTCAGTCTCTCAACTCTCCTCTGTCCTGTGAACTCCGGGGAAGGACAGATGCCATGCAGCCAGCACACTGGGGTCTGGCTGGCCGCCACAGACACTGCAGACCACCTACCCACCGTCCACACTGCAGGTCCCTGGGATCTTTTACACACCCCTTCCTGGCGATCGCCACTCAGTGGCTTCCCATTCTACCTGGGAAAAGATCTCAGCTCCCCAGTGGGGCCCCTGGAGCCCCCCAACTCCCTGCTCTGGTTTTCTTTCAGTTCCAGAGACACACCAAGCTGGTTCTACTTTAGGGTATCTGCCTTCACTGTTCCCCACATGGGAGGTTCTTGGCCCTCCTTCCCCTCCTCACCTGGCTGATGACTCTTCATCTAAATGCTACCTCCTCAGAGAGGCTGCCTGTACCCACCTATCTCCTCCCCAACTCCAGCGTGTCCTTTCTGCACTGCCTTCTGAAACACATTCTCCCGTTACAGCAGTGGTCTCAAGCACTGGTATTGCCCCCCACGCCCCAGGGGCATCTGGCAAAGTCTGGAGGTGCTTTTGGCTGTCACGACTTGGGGAAGGGCTGCTGGTGGGCAGAGGACAAGGGTGCTACTGAACACGCCCTCCAGCAACCGTGAGCACGGGCGAGGCCGAGAAAGCCGCCTGGAGCCATGCCCGCAACTTGTCCTCATATATTTGTGCATTGGCTCGTGTGGAGCCTGTCACCAGCACTAGACTCTCACCTCCCTGGGGGCAAAGACTGTCTGTCTGATGCATCCTGGTTTTCAGGCACCCGGCACAGGTGTTCAGTCAGCACTGGGTGAAGGCGTGATTGCATTAGGTAAGGTTGACGGGGCACTGCCCCTGCCAGCCACCAGCCCTGAGAACTATCACCTCCCCTGTTCTACAGAGGAGGAAACTGAGGCTCAGTGATCTCTAGCTGGGTATCCCTGGGGGTCATACCTGGCTAGCCAGAAGCACACACACAGGCGATTCACCTGGACTCCTCTTCCGATGCTGAAAGACCCTTGTTGAAGGATACTGCCACCCAGAGGATGGGAGCCACGGCCTTCCTAGAGCCCTTCAGGCCTTTCCTGAGAGCCTGGTGGCCCGGGGCCAAGTCACTGCGCCACCGTGTGGCCACACTGGGGGTGGCAGCTTCCCCAGCAGGGGAAGGCCCTTCTCCCTCCTTGACTCAGGAGGAGGGTGGCTGGGCCACCCCCCACTGCACCCAGAGGAAACCACGCCAGGGGGCCCAGGCTCCAGGCCACCAGGAGGCTGAGAGCCCAGTCTGGGGCCACCAAAAACAGGACTGGGAAGCAGGAGTCTTGGTTCTGCCATTCACTGTGACCTTGAGGCCTCACTTCCCCTCTTTGGGCCTCAGTTTCCTTGTCTGGAAAATGGGGAGCCAGTACAGATCTGCAGAGGAGGAGGAAGCTGTGGCCCAGGCAGAGGAAAAGACTCCCCCAGGGACCCCAGCACTCACCGAGGTGTAGGCCCGCCCGCACATGCTGCAGCAGTAGGCCTTGGCGTGCTTGATGGCATGGGCCGAGAGGTGGATCTGCAGGGAGGCGGAGTCCGAGTAAGCCCGGTAGCAGTTGGGACACTTGTAGGGCTTGTCCTTGTTGTGCTGGCGCTGGTGAGACTGTGGGGAGCACAGGAGGGTGTGAGGAGCCCATCAGTACTCCCCCTGCCTCATTCCCTTCTTATGCTCCCTGCAGGGGAGGCAGCTATGCACCTGGGGGTCAGGAGCAGGTGGGCACTCACCTGGAGGTTGGAGAGCTGAGTGAAAGCCTTTTCGCAGCCGGGATGTGGGCACTTGTAGGGTCTGTCGCCTGTGTGGATTCTGCAATGGGCAGCCAGTGAGGTACAGGCCCTGACAGACACCCCAAGGCCAGCTCCAGTCCCTGAGCCCCTGGCAGGCCTGTGCCGCACCTCTGGCCATGTCCTCCAGAGTGAGTCCAGGCAAGAGCTAGGGACGTCAAAGACCACCCCCTCCCCATCCTCTGGCCAACCCCCCAGAGCTTCCTGCTCCCCACAGATCCTTGCTGACCCACCTTCTACCAGCACCCAGATGAAGACCTGGCCCTGGCCTCTGGCTAATCGTAGTGGCCTTGCTTTGACTGCCCTCTGCCCTGCCCTTCTAAGTAGCCCACCTGCACACCACCCACCAACAGCAGCACAGGTTCCCTGCTTTGCCAGGAAAGTCCCTGCCCACCTTGCCTCTAACTGGCCCCCAATTTCTACTTCCTGCCTCCTCTCCAGGGCACAAGTCCATGAAGGCTACATGGTCATACCAGCCACTGAGAGATGGTAGGACAAGTAGCCCTAAAGGTCAGCCCCTCTGTGTCCTTTCTGTGGGGCCCTCAGTCCCCCAATTCCTGCGTTCTCATCCTAGCTCCACCATTTACTCTCTGGGTAAACTAGGAAAATCACTGGGCCTCAGTTTCCATGTCTGCAAAATGGGTATAAAAATATAGTCCCTCCTCACCGGGCTCTGTGAAGATCAGCATAGATGACATGTGTAAGGGGCTTGGCCTGGCACTGGCACAAAGTCAGCGCTCAGAGTAAATGCTTGCCAGTATTATCACGAGTATTCTTTCAACATTCACAAATCAGATGCCACTGTGCTAGGTACTCAGTGTAGGCTAGGTACTCAGTGTATCAGTGAACAAAACAGACCATTGCCTTGTGGAAACAAAGAATCAGCAGGAACCAATAAGAAAACCACATGCAGGAAGCAGTAAGTACTTCAAGAGCTAATGGGGGTAGAGGGACGGGGGGGTGGGTGGAATGTGTGCCAGGGAGGTAGGGGTGCAACGGTCTCCACATCATCAATAATGTCCATTCCTCGGGGGTATTTCACAAATGTTGGTTGACTGACTGACTAACAGTCCTCCAGGTCCTTCAGGGACTTTACTCTTACCCTGGCCTCCTCTCCAAGTGCCACAGCTGCACAACCTCCTCCCTAGAAAACCAGCCTCAGCCTCCAGCTCAGCAACAACACAGGATCTGACCTTGTCCAAGCCCTCTTATATGTTGTTTGTTTGGTTTCCCACCTGGCAACGTTTGCTGTCTCCCCCTCTTCCAGAACAGAGTCCAACTCCCCCGCTACAGTTTTCAAGGCCTGAGTTTCGAAAGCCTCTCTACCACCTCTCTGCCCATCCAGGCAGCTTATAAACCCATCACAAGGCTCCAGATTCCACTAGACTACAGATCCCAGAATGCTCCAGGCACAGCATTCTGTGCCCCTAGGGTACTTCCTGCTCCACCTGCTTCTGACCCAGGGGGTGGCAGGTTCTGCTCTGGACACGGCTCTTTACTCCCTGCATTACTGGAGGGAACGCTGGGGAAGCACTTGATTATATGGCCTGACGGTCTGGTCCTCCATGGAGGGGCGAAAACCTGGAGCGCGCCCCAGCGGAATAGCAGAGAACCAGGGTCTGGCACACAGTTGCTTCCTCATGTTTGGTTAATTTTGTTTGTTTGTCTAGAGGATTCTGGGACTTTCGGGCATCTGGGTCACCCACCTCTTTGTCACTGGCTTAGGACACACTGGTTTAATTATATGTGCTGCTGCCTAATGACTAATAATTTATCTGTAAATGCTGATAAGACTCTCTTACGTTGTTTGTTTGGTTTCCCATCATTACGAACTCAAATGACTCAACTGGAAAGAAAAGGGGAAAATGATGCCCTTGGGAATGGAGAGCGAGCCCTGGGTCAAGAACATTCTGACAAAATACCCTCCTGCAAGGCCTGTTCGTTGTGTTGCTTTTTTGGTTCTGGTCTTACATAATCCACAAATTTACTTCTGAAGAAACCAGGATTCTTCATTATTACTCGCTACAGTGCTTGTTTTCAATGAGGCCGATGCTCGTGCCTTGTCTATCCTGCCAGCTCTGCTCCAGCCCTTCACACACCCAGGGACGAATTCAGAATCATAAAATGATCGAGAAGGCTTCCATACCCGGGTGCTCCTGGGAATTCCCGATGGCAGCTGAGCAACACCAGAGCTTGGCTCCCTTGCTTCTAAGAGGGGTGCTCTGATGACGAGGCCTGGGCTCTCGCCTTCATATTTTTAATTAGCTGGAAGTCAGAGCAAGCAGAGCTCTAAAGTTTCTAGTATAAGGAAGCTGGCAAACCGCAAGAAAGGCTCCCCGAGTTCACTTGACTTTCATGTAATTATATATAGTAGGCGTAATATATATATAAATATAAATATATATAAATATAACATGTAGCAGTATCATACACAATATAATTATACATAGCATAATACAAATATACCGGGTGATCGGAAAAGTCATGACACATTTTTGCTTGAAAAACAGAAAAAATATACGTCATGAAGGTTCCGACAACCCAGTGTAAGTGTGTGTGTGTGCACTTTGTAAGATGGAGGAAGAAAAAACTGATTTTCATGAACAGAGACTAGCACAGTAAGTATCAACAAAGAAATGTCTCTTAAAAGTATTTTTTCCCTAGACTTAACTACACTCATCAATTAGTGACAGCCATAAAGTAAAAGGCCCTGAAGATGGGGCGCTGCCCTCGGAGCCTGTAAGACAGGCTCACTCTAAAGAACGGACCTTGTATTCTACGCTAACAGAACCCTCTGTCCCCTCCGTTCTGGTGTTGCTGGTTATCAGGATAACTTGGCTCAGAGTCGCTGTTATCAACAGCTCCAAGGTCCCCTCCCACTTGCCTAAAGGCCTCTGCTTCCAGCCGCAGGTGGGACACGGAGCCTCCAGCCACGAACTCGGCTGCGGGCAGCAGACCCATGGGCACAGGCTTCCCAGCTGACAGTCGCTGTGACCCACGCTGCCCCAAGCCAAGGCAGGAGCCAAGAGTCTTAGCCCCAAAGCAGACAACTTTGCGAAGCAGACTGACTAACCCAAGATCGGGAGAACCTGGAGTTAGAACCTAGGCGTGGATGAAAGGGAATGAATTGCAGTTAGTGTTTCGTTTCTAAAGTGTTTCTTTTATTCTTTGAGGTATCTCTAGCCTCAATATTTAGGAAGCTGTATCTGTACAAACTAGAATAAAATATCCCATAAATGGTGCCTGGTTCCTCCCAACCTTTCAGAATTGGGGGAAGGGAAGAATAATTTTTTAAAAAATTAATAAGGCAAATTTTAAATAATAGCTCTATTGGAAACAACCTATGGGATTGGTCTTGTCTACAAACTACTCAGAACAATTGTTAGAAAGCATTCAAAATGCTTTACTGAGAACCTTTTCTTTTCATTCTGTAAATAGGTTCACTACAAATCTGTCCTCCTTCCTAACAGGATATAATTGGGTAAATCAAATTTGTAACCATGACCATGCCAGAAATGTCACATTTAAAGACAAATTTCATTTAATTCAGTCTGACAGCCTGACTGTAACAAACAAGGACTGCACATCCCATGTGGGAACCAGGCCTCCCCAGGCCTCCAGGAAGCTGGAAACAAGCTGCTCCCAGCTCGTGGGATCCAGCCTTTAAGGTTGCAGAAAAAAGTCCTTCCTGCTAGTCCAGAAACAAAAGCTTGGAGACAACCCTCCAAAAGCAAGGTGCTCCTGCATTACGGGCTGAGAGGCACAGTGTGACAGAGGGGACTGTGGTTGGCTCTAGGCTCCTGGTCTCAGCATGCTGAGAACATTTACTCACAGGAGATTAAATTATGACCCAGAGGTTTTATAAAGTCTCCTGACAGACATTAACTCCCCCACCCTAGCAGCACGTGCTCTGATTTTAATAACCATATAACTAAGGGGACTTTGCTTATTCGTCAACACCGCATTACATAGACCTGTATACCTAAAACTGGTCAAACTTAAACTCAGATAGCATAAAATTGGAAATCTGCTCAAACAAATTCACGTGGTCAAATCAGTGTCCGAGGAAGCAGGGCAATGACAAAAAGCAACACTGCCTTGCCTGCTGCCCCAAAGCCAGAGGCAGACAAACAAAACATGTGCCCCCTGGGAACAGGCATGCAAAGACGGTGGAGATAAAGGAAGTGACAACCAGAACAAAAAAATAAAAAAAAAAGGGTCCCTAGCATTAGTCCCCCAAATAAAGAAAACTTGAGCACTCTCTGTAAATTGCAAAAACCACAGCAAAAACCAACTCTCCCCCTGGCGTGCACGATGCTGACGTGGCCAGGCACACGGCATGTTTACAGCTCCTCCTGCAGCAGCCCGCGGCCTTCTCTGCCTCAGAGGTGAGCTGCCCTGGGCAGCCTCTGCTCTGTCTCATTAAAGGCCTGTGGCGTTCTGACTGGGTGAGCCAGTCATTCTGATGTCTGTAACCTCTGCAAAAGCTGTCCTTCAAGCACTGATCTCTGAATCTCCCTTTCACACTTAACCCGAGGGCACACTCTATCAGGACAGGGATTCGAGTCTGTGTTGTTCAATGCTGCATTGCCAGCACCAATGCGCCTGGCTGGCATAGGCTAGGGGCTCCGTAAGTATCTGCTGAATGGATGCTCCTATGCCCCTTAAATGCTAGTTCTGCTTACTCCACAAATACTAAACAAATGCCTCTGTGCTCATTACGGTCCACACACTGGGGACGTGAAAGTCCTGGACTGCGAGAGCTCCCGAGGTATCCAGGAGAGGGGGGGGGCGAGGAGTGGGAAAAGGGTCAGGCAAGCACAAGAGAGCCCACGCTGCTGTGATGGGGGCGCACAGGGCTGTGGAACCAGCTCATAGAGCCTCAGAGGGCTTCCTGGAGGAAACTGCAAGTTGGTAGGAGAGAGCCCGGGTAAAGGACAGGCTGTGTGGAAGAACTGCAGAGAAACCCCTGGAAGGAGCCTGTATAGTTGTGAGAACTGAGGTCAGTGAGGTCCACAAAGGTTGTATCACAAAAAGCCTTGAAACCAAGCAAAGGAATTTAGCCTTGACCATGAAGGCAATGGGCACCTAGAGGAGGTCTTTGCCACTGCCTGCACCAGGGTGCTGAGCTGAAACCAGGTGCAGGAGGGCAGCACCAGGCCGGCCACTCACCTGGTGTGCTGCTGGAGGTGGGAGAGCTGTCGGAAGGACTTATCACAGTAGGAGCAGTGGTAGGGCTTGACGCCCAGGTGGATGCGCAGGTGCTGGGCCAGGTAGGAGGCGTTGGCAAAGGACTTGGAGCAGTGCGGGCACTTGTGGGGCTTGGCCTCTGTATGCGACTTGGAGTGGATTTGCATCTCGGACTTGGTGAAAAAGGTCAGCGGGCATACCTTACACCTGTGGGGCAAGAGGCATGTCACACCTGGGAAGATCCCCACCCCTGCCCGCACATCTCAGGGGAGACCTTCTAGCCCAGAAACCTTGCACCCAGGACAGATCTTCCCTGCGAGGACTCCAAAGGGCACAGGCCCCGGGAGGGAGGCAGGCTCCCAGCCTGGACACCCTCCAGTCTGGCGGCGAAAGTGCTTCCACCTGGGGGCATATTTACAGCAGGCTGACACCTCTCAGGGACGAGGTCCCGGATCCCTGCTCAGGGCCACGCCCATGACCTGGGGAGGGGTGCTAACCCCCACACTGGAACTATCTGGGGAGCTTCCAAGAAAGGTTGATACCTGGCTCCCTGCTCGTCCTCTCCAACAAATCAGAATTTCTGGAGGTGCAGCCCTGGCATTGGCCTTTTTAGAAAGCTCTCCCCAAGAATCTGAGGGCTGAGACTACTAATGAAGAGGAGGAAATAGACTCCTGCAGCCCTCCGCTTTGGTGGGGCTGCCCGGCCCAGATGACCCCTGAGCCTGTGGGCAGGGCTCGCTGGGAACCCCCCTCCGACCTCAGCCCCGCCCTCAGCCCCCAGGCGCCTCCTCCAGTCCAAGCGGCTGGGCCCCTGGGCGCCCTGAGAGTGAGCGTGTCCTGCGACCGCCTGGCCCCTCCCGCCGAGGCCCCCACCTGTAAGTCTTGCCCTCCTTGGCAGTCTCGCCCGAGGCCAGGATGGGGTAGGGGACTACCAGGACAGGAGGGCCCCCTGGGTTCTCCGCCTTGATCTTTTTGCGGCCGCGCTCGGACTTGGGGGGGCCAAGCAGGCCATGGCCCTGGATTGTCTTGATGGAGTCCAGGAGGGGGGGGCTGGTGATCCCTGAGATGAGGGTGGGGGACGAGGCGATGAGGCGGCTCTGGCTGGTGGTGGTGGGTGTGGACGGGGTGCTGGTGCCCGTGCCCGTGCCCGACTCCGAGGTGCTCACAGCCGGGGTCCGGGAGGAGAGACCCAGACCTGCGAAGACACACGGGTGCAGGGGTGAGGGGCCATCCAAAAGCTCGTCTCTCTCAGCCTCCCCTTGCCTTTGTAAACTAGCACAGGGTAACTCCATGCGAACGCGTGTGTGCACACGGCTTAGGGCCCGAGGACGAGTCTGGGCCAGGGGACAGAGCCCTCTGGAAATGACTCAGACCACGGGCAGAAAACAGAGGCACCTGCGGCTACTGGGTCCTGCGGAACAGCAAGAAATTAGCAGCAACTGAAGCAGGCAGTACTGGGGGACGAATGAACCACCCGCGGTCTCCTGTACTCAATGCTAACTGCCACCCAAAGGGTTATGCTTGTTTCAACAGGGGGGTCATATGCACGCACAGAAGATGTACCCAAACGTGGGGTAGACAGGATTAAGAGTAATTAAAACGAATCTTTTTGGCTTAACAGAACTTTCAGATACCTTGACAATGAACTTTTTTTTTAAACTTTTGTAATAAAAGTAACTCTTAAAATGAGGAGACTAGAAAAGTTTACAAGATCGGGTTGAATACAGCAAAAGCTAAAATGGCATTGATTGTGTGGTTAAAACTGTTTTTAAAAAGAAACCAAAAACCTGTGCAAGGAGAAAGCTAATATTCAAGGCCCCGCACAGTAGTCTGTGTGGGAGTGTAGGAAGCAGCTTAATGGAGGGGGTGGACAACAGCCTTAAACACTTACATGTACGGAAGCTTGAGCAAGCATTCTGCGAGGAATCACCCATAAAGACATATTTGCGCGTGAACACAAAGATCTGTGCACACAAGCCTTCTAGACAAAACTGGTCAGGCTGGACCCCACGGGCGAGTAACACAGGGGCTGGGAACAGAACCGAGGGCCATGCTCCCATCATGGGAATAAGAGGGGGGATGCAGTGGTATAGCACCCCAAAGGTGCTGGCAGAGGGAAAACCAATCACACCCAGGATGAGCCCTTTCACTAAAAGAAACACACACCCCAACTACAGATGCAGGTGGGGACGGCGTGTATGTGTGCAAAGGCCAGCTGCAGATCTGAGAAAAGAACCAGATGACACTGCGCTCCACTGTGGTTCTCTCTAGAGCACGGGGAAGAATTTTTTGGTAAAAGGAGATTTTCATACTTTGTCTACTCTGTTCCTACATTATTTGAAATTTTTTCCTGGTGACTTCATTCATTTCTCACATCTGTGATTCACGATAAAAGAAATTATAGAGAAAATATGAAAATGCTAACAATAGTAGGACTAAGAGTGATTTTCCTCTCTGTTCACCTTGTCTGTAATTTCTAAATTTTCTACGACTATGCATTATCTTTGTAATAAAAAAGGGGGGTCCACTAAATAGAAATACGCTAGAAAGGCGAGTAGGAAAAGCAAGTTAAAGTCGTGAGCACAGCCATAACACCAGCTCAGCAAAACACACATGCATATTAAAAAACAAGCAAAAAGAGATGGAAAAGGAAGGAAATGAAGCAAAAGACTCACTAAGCTGCTGGGGTAGGGGTTGGGGATCATAAGTGATTTTCTTTCTTAGTTTCTCCTTTTTCCAAATTTCCCTTAATATGCTTATATTACTTTTTTAATATCACTTTTATAATGAAAAAAATAAATTTAATAAAATTATAATAACAGGGAAATGTGCAGAGTGTGGCTGGGGCCTGGGGGAGTGTCACCGGGCCCCATCATTCTCTCAGGGTCTCTCAGGGGTGGGGGGCGGGGAAGGGGAGTGGCAGAGAAGCCGGGTGGTGGCAGGGCTGAGTCGGGGAGGAAGAGGCCCAGCCACAGAGGTCGCAGGAGAAAGCCTGGCCACTGGGCTCTGAGGTGGGCATTGGCAGCTCCAGTCCATGGCACCCCCACCTGCTGTCCCCAGCCTCAACCTGTCCCAGACTGAGCTCACGCCCTTCCTCCTTCCTGAGTCCACCTCCCTGCAGCGCCTGGGAGTCTCCCATCTGGCCCTGCTTCTCACCTCCTACATCCAGTCCAGCACCAAACCCTGTCCATTCTTCCTCCTCAGCGTGCCTCAGATCTGTCCACTTCTCTGTGCCCACAGCCACTGCCTTGCCCAGGCCACCATCCTCTCTTGCAGGTCTCTCTGCTTGCCTCCCACCAAGTCAGTCTCTACCATGAAGCCAGGCTCAATTTTCTAACCCAAACCTGAGCATTTCCCTCCCTTAGTTAAGAACCTTCCACGGCTCCCCACGGCCTGCGGGGAAAGTCCAGGCTGGGAAGCAAGGCCCTTAAAAGCCTGGTCCTCCTTCCTCTGGCCTCAGCAGAACCTGGTAAAGCAGAGGCTTGACTCATGGGCTCTGGCGCCACGCTGCCTGCCTCTGCCTCTTACTGACTGTGAGACGGCCTCGGGTTCCTCATCTGTTGAATGGGGACATCAGGCCGGACTGCATGAAAGTGTGGTTCTTCGAAGACCAAAGCAGTCGACTGTTGGACCTAATTTCCCAGGACTGCTGGGGATAATGACCGGAAAGCACCTGCAGGCGCTCAGCAGGCGTTGGCTGCCATATCCTGCTTCTAATGGCCATCACCTTTTGTCCCTCTCTGCCCAGACTGTCCTGCCCTTGCATCCTACACACACACATCCCCCCGCCCACCTGTCCCCTTTCCTTGCATAAGGCCCCTCCAAGGACATCTCCCCTCATCAGTCCCAAGTCTGGTCAGGCTCTTCTCTGGATTCCCAAGTTCTCTAGGTTGACTTGGCTTCCCTGGTGACCCACCCTCATCCAGGCGATTTGGAGGGCGGGGGTTCTCCCAGTACTGGCTGAAAGGAAACCTGGCTAGTGGGACCTACCTGCCACCCCGAGACCCCCAAAGGCACTGCCCTGCCTTCTCGCCTGTTCTCCTCCCCAGTCCCCCACCACCCCCAGACCCACCAAGTCTCACCCCCAAGTCCCCACCCCACTCACCTCCACTCACTACGCCCCGCCCACGCCCCGCCCACCCCGGCAGTCTCCACCCACCGCCCCGGCCACGCCCCGCCCACCCCAACAGGCTCCACCCACGGCCACGCCCACCCCGCACACCTGTGACCGTGCTGGTGGCAGGCCGCGCGTGCAGCGCCACGTCGGGCTGCGGCACGGCCTGCGGGTGCAGCCCCGGCACCTGCTGCAGCTTGGGCAGCGACATGACGGCCTGGCTGCTCTCGGCTGGCGCCGGCGGCACTAGCAGCGGCTGCTGAGACGAAGCCGACGTGGGCGGCAGGTGCGGCGGCCGGATCTTCTCGGCCATCAGCTGCTCCTTGATCTTGTTAATCAGGACCAGGTTGTCCAGCTGCCGGCGAGAGAAGAGCGGGCGGAGGGGGCTTGGGCCGTGCTGGGCTCCTTGCGGGCCACCCACCTGCGAACCCCTCATCCCTCCTCCCGCCGACAGATCCAACAAAAGCCCAGCAAAGCAAAGCAGCTCCCAGAGAGGAAAAGGAAGGCTCGTTCTTACCTGGCTGGGCATGGTGGGAGGAGGGGGCCAGAAGTAGGGGTTGTTAAATCGCGGCTCTGCCATCCTGTGGGAAAAGAACTGTTGTCACGGGGAAGAGAGACCTCCCCACCGGCAGGTGGCGAGTGCCATCTGCTACCCACTCAAGTCTGGATCCCTGCCCCTGGGACCCTCAGGCGCCAGCAGAGCAGGCCTTCTACCTGGCCTGGGACCTATGTCTCCAGGCTGAGAAGTATGGAATTCGAGGCCTCCCTCAGGGGTCCCCGAGGGCAAAGATCATATCCAGACCTGAGTACTCCCAGCCCCTATCACCCTGGTGCCAGCAGATCAAACCCCATTCCCCAGAAGGGCCTTAGGGTGCAGAGTCCATGCCATGGACCCATGGATTCCACACAGAAGCTCCTCTCCCTCTCTCCCCTCATCCAAACAGACTGAGGGGTCCGGGGGCAGCTTTGTAAATGGCTACAGAGCAGAGGAAACTGCCCAGCCTTGAGCCCCGTCCCGGAGAACAGACAACCTCACATCCTCGTGAGCACACTGGGCAACTTGGGCCATCAGACCAGACTTTCTGAAGAGCAATTTGGTGGGATAATTTATAGAGACACAAATGACTACTGCCCTTTGACCCAAGAAATTGCATCTCTAGAAAGTTATCCCCCAGAAACAAGCAATGGACGAGTAAGGTTTCCCTAAAAGGACTTGTTTCAGAACACTGTGTTTAAAAAGGGGGTTGGGAAGGCTGAGGCTAAGGCAGTTTGGGGCTCTTCAATAGACATGTGTGGCAATCTGTCTAGAGGCCCCTCACCTCTGGCAAATTCCATGGCAGGCCTACGCGGTTAGAGGCCTTTTCAACCAGGCAGTATGAAGGATGGGCCTGCCAGCTATGTCATTCTTCCAAAGGGTGCACATCTTCCTGCAGCCCTAAAGTGGGGAGGCGCCTTCCAGGGAGATGCTGCAGAGGTGTCCCATTAAGTCTTGCTCCCTCGCAAATAGCTGTTTCTCTCTCTCTCACACAGAAATCACTAACGAAATACCAAACTGGTATTGTTGCTTAAATGAAATGTTTCTTTTGACAGGCAAGGCTAAAATGAAGTGCTTTTGACCTTATTTCCTGGTCCTACAGGTCTGAGAAGCCCCTACCAGAATTTTGGGGAAAACCTTCAATTAGGACACAATCTAATGCCAACACTTTACGAAAGCCACTTTATATGAAGCGCTGCTTGTGATCTCTACTTGAGAAGTAGGCCCAGGAGGTATTATTAACCCATTTTACAGGTGAAGAAACTGAGACTTGGAGAGAAGTGACCTGCCCAAGACCACAAGGCTAGGGTGCCAGAATCAAGACTGGCATTAGATTTGATAGAGTCAGATACTCTGTGGACTTTGCTTTGCAAACCCCAGTCTTTGGTTGAGCAAAAGTATTTGTTTGCAAATATCTCAATACCTATATGCAAAAACCCTTGCTTCTTAGCAAGCCTGGCCTGGCCAGGCTGGTCTCAGAGTACCCTCCTCCTTGATGGCCAGGGCAACCCCTGCCCACTGACCATCCTCTTGCTCCTGCCACTCTCACTAACACCAAGCTACCCTTCCCTGTGCCCACCCCTCACAGCCCAACACAGGAAGCACTTCCTCCCTGGCCTCCTCCCTGACCGCTCCAGGTCCCTGGGCTTCTGCCTTCACAGAATGAACTCAACACAGTAACAGCAGTGAGGAGGCTGTAATTTGCTAAATGCCTACCTGCTGCCAGGTTCACTGAAAGGCAGGTACTCTCATCAGTCCCATTTTACAACTGAGGAAACTGAAGTTCAGAGAAGTGACTTAGTCAAGGTCACACAGCAAGGAAATAAAGAGCCAAGATTCCTACCATAATCTGCCTAAGTCCAGCTCATCATTCCCTTAGCAGTTCAGGGGAAAGACAAGGTGTCCTGACTACAGGCTTATGAATATGCCCTGTCTCAGGATGGCACAACCACGATCACACAGGCAGGACCTGTCCTGACCCTACTTCTGTCCACCCTGGAACACGTGGAGAGGACAAGCTGTAAGCCAGGGTGAGGAGGCTCCCCTAGGGGCAGAAGGATTGGGGCACAGCCTCAGAGACACCTAGGAATGGGACACACCTGTCTCCTTCATCTCAGTATCCCAGCACCAGGCCCAGAGGTTATCAACATCATGAAATGCATAACAGATGCATGAATAGACGAAGGAATAATAATCAGAACTACTTTAAAGACAATCCTACAGAGTTGCCCAGCATGGCTAACCCTTCTGTACCCACTGGCATTCTCATTAGTACCCCTGGAAGCTGGGCAGCATCTCACACCCATTTCACAGAGGATGAAGCTAGGGCACCAGGAGGGAAGCGCTTGCTCCAGGCCACACGGCTTGGCTCCCCAGGGTGGGGCAAGAGACCCTCTCTCCCACTGGCCTCGGCCTATCCATTCTAGAACTTTAAATACCGGCCAACTCCCAAGTCTCCACCTCCAGCCCAGGCATCCCCCTGGAGCTCCAGGCCCAGCCTCCCAGCTGCCTTCCTGTCATGCCCCTCTGGCTCTCTCCCATGGCTGCTCAGACTTGGCAGTCCTCAGCTGGACATGGTCTTCTGCTAAGACACAGCCCCCTTTAGCCATCTGGCCGAGTGGAGCATCTCCCTTGCCCAGAGGCTCCTACCACAGACACACACTGATCCACAACACACACACACACACCCGTACCCCTACACACACAGCTCCGGTCCACCACCGGCTGTGGCTCAGGATCCCCACCCCACGCCGTGCGCCCTCGCTACCTCCACCGCGTGGAACGGCCTGCTTTGTCTGCATCTCAAAGCGCCCAGGTTCGCATCTTGGCTCCAACTCACCAGCTGTGTGATCTTGGCAAGACACTTGCTCCTGCCTCCCCAAGTCAGGGACGAGCAGCCCAGAGCCAAGGACCTGCCCCGGGGCAGGAGGAAAGGCCAGGGACAGAGTTCCCGGGGGAGGCGATGCCTGCTTCGGGTCTTAAAGGATGAGTGGGAGTCAGTCAGGCAAACAAGGAATAGGGGCATTTCTGGCAGAAGCTGCAGCCTGAGCTTAGGTCTGCCAGGGGAGATGAAGTATCCAGTGTGGCCTGGGAGATGAGACCGGGGCCATCCACCAGGGAGGTCGATTCCTGAACCTAAGCCTGGAACCTAGACGCAAAGCAGTGGGTGATGGGACGGATTTGTAGTTTAGAAAGCCTCCCGCCCCCCACTACTGAGTGTAGACAGGACGGGGAAAGCGGAAGAGGAGGCAGTAAGAGGGTGACTCTTAGGAGGCCCCTGGGGAACAGAGGTGAGGAGGAGGGGCTGCACCTGGACCAGGAGGAGCGTGAGCAAGAGGGCCTGGCTACTTGGTTAGAGCTGGCGGCCCCCGTGCAGCTTCACCCACCCCCGGTGTGGCCTGGGAGGTCCCCTGGACACTGACACAGACAGACATGACCACAGGAACATGCAGACAGACGGCACCACACTTGGACACACATGACAGACAGACTTGTGGCCCACAACATGGACTGATAGGGACGGCAACTCCCGCGAGCAAGAAGCTTCTAACAGGAGGGTGAGCACCTTATGGCCCCCAGGACAGACCCACAGGGAGGCAGTGAGGGGCACTTGGGAAGTCGGGATGAACACAATACCTTAATCCCCCAAAGAACAAACCCCTCATTGACAGAGTTCAACCTGGAATCACAGGTTCCTTACCTAGAGTGTCCTTTACCACTTGGTGAACTTCTACTCATCCTTCAAGACCCAGCTCAAGTGTTCCCTCTTCTACGGAGCTTTCCCTGAACCCCCAGTCAGTCACTTCCTCTGTGTTCCCAACAGCACCTTGTATATGGGAATAACAATAACAATAATAATAAAATGGCAGCTACTATTGATTTTCACACCTACTGTGCGCCAGGCACTGTGCTGAGTAGGCCGTACGCATCATGTCACTGAATCTTCCCAATGGCCTGCGAGATGTGCATTCCACAGAAGAGGAAACTGCAGCTCAGAGAACTCGACCAACTTGCCCAAAGTCACACAGCTTACAAATCATTGATGGAGTGAGGACACCGCCCTGATCTGGCCCCGCATTACAGGGCTGATCGTACCTTGATATGTCCGTTTCCCCGGGGGACTTCCCCATCAGACTGCGAGCTCTTCGCAGGTAGACTTGGTGTTCGTTCGTTCACCTCTGCTGTCAGAAGCATAAACACTGACTACCTTTTCTTGAGCACTTCGGATGGGGGAGGAGCTATGTCAGGGCATTACAACTGTTATTTCACTATTGCATTAGAGCCATGGTATGAGGAACTGAGGTCCAGAGAGGTCAATTAACTGGCCTGAAGTCACGGAGCCGAGTCTGGATTGGAAACCAGGTCTGCCCATCACCCTGTCCCGGGAGGGTGAACACTGAGACCAGCCTAGCCAGCACCCCGAAGGAGCACCTGGGGAGGGGCCTTTGGAAAGGGGAACGCCAGGTGCCAGGCCCCGCCACCTGGGGAAGGTCAAACCTAGACACACACGAAGAAGACAGAACAGGCACCCCGGGGAGGAAGGCGATAAGCCATACCTACTGCAGGGCAGGGCCGGGTGCAGTTAAGCAACTTCATGTCCCATTTCCCATGCCCTGCCCAGCCCACAGACATCAAACAGTGAGATCTGCTCAGACCCCATGGCCACAGGGGGTCCCAACTGGCTCCCAAGAAAGTAAATGGGAGCGAGCAGGACCCAAAGCTGTGCGGACACTATGATTACAAGGAGGCAAAAATAAAAACCTGCGTCAGAAAGAGCAAGCTGCCAGAAACCACGCCCACAGGGAGGCTGGGTGCGGGGGGGAGGAGGCTAGAGCTGATCTGGGTTTTTGTCTTTGTTTCTCTGATTTCCACATTCTCTGTAATGTCATTCAGTTGCTTTTATCATGAAAACAATTAATTTATTCTTAAAAAATGGAAGAGGTTGATAGCAGGAGAGGGCCTGGGGGAGGGGGGTAGACGGAAGTCCCGGTGGCATGGAGGTGCAGGGCAGTCCGGGCCAGCAGGCGGTGGGCACTCAGTCAACCACTCCTACCAGCTCTGCCCAAAGCCCATTCTCCAGGTAGGAGGAGCTGGGTAGGGGGTGGCAGAGTTCAGCAATATTACCTGGCAGAGGTGACATTCGTCTGCACTTTGAAGCTGCACAAGGTGGGGAGAGAAGGGAGTTTCCACCACCTTCCCTGGCCTGGGCCAGGCCCCCATCACCTGCAGCAAGAGCCTCCTCCCAGGTTTCCCCACCTCTACCCACAGCCCCCATTCCAGTCTCCTGCTGTGGTCACTGAGATATTTCTAAAACATAATCACAACACTTCTCTACTTAGAACCTTCCACGGGGCTCTACTTCTCTCCAGACGAGATATGGATTCCTTAGGCCTTATCTGTCCAGCCCCGATGACCTCTGGCTGTACTGGTGATTCCCCTCATCTTACACACCCAGTCTGGTCAGATTGAGTTTCCCCAGTGCTCGACTTCCCTTCTTACTTCCTTGCCTTCAATCAGGCTGCATACATGTCCCTCAAAGCTCTCTGCCCACCCCATTTCACTGGTTAAGTCCAACCTACCCCTGAAGGCCCCAGCTTACAGGCTACTTCCTTCTGAAAGTCTTCAAGGATTGTTCCACCTCTACCCCTGAGGCTGCTGGGGGTCTTGCCTCTGTTTTCTCTGTGTCCTGCATTTCCATCATCAGAGCCCTTGCCAGTTTTCTCATGCATCTCTGTTGCTGGACATGCAGCCTGCCAGGGTGGAATCAGGGCTGAGTCATTGGCCTTTGAATCCCTTGCACAGTACCTGCTAGACATTTGGATGAATGAATGGATGCTCTAAGTGGAAGGAACTAAAACTGCCATGGTCTAAATAGAAGAAAGTCCCTTCTCTCCTCCCAGTTCACTCCGCACACTCTGGCACTACGTTATTCCCTGCGTACACGTTCTCTATTTCCTGTAGCTAAGCCCCATTTTCCTGAGTGATGTGAGAAGGACTGTGTTCTGCACAGACTAGAGGGCCAAAATGATATTAACAACTAATAAACACAGAAAATGGCTATTGGGCCTCCCCTGGTGGCGCAGGCGGTTGAGCGCAGCACTGTGAAGCTGTCCACAGCCTCTGCATTGCCGGTTCGATCCCGCCTGCTGGCGAGGGTCCCACATGGCACAGCAGATCTCTCCTGTTGCGCCTGCTGATCCCCTCAGCAGTGTATTTCGTTAGTCTGCCTGTTCTGTTCCCCGCTCTGGCTCTGGCGAATCCTCTCACCCTCCCGCGAATCTGGCCTGACCCCGGTTTTTGTATGGATAAATAAATAAATCTTAAAAAAAAAAAAAGAAAAGAAAATGGCTGTTTCCCTAGCAGTGAAAACAAAATGAGTTTCACCTATTACAATAGCAAAAAAGAATAAGAAAATGATAATACCCAATGCTGGAGAGGGTATAGTGAAATTGGCATTCCCATACATTATGGGTAAGAGAATAAACTGGAACAATCATTTCTGAAAACAATCTGGGAATAATATATCACACGCTCTAGAAATTTTCAGATTTCCTGGCCTACTGATCCCATTTTTAGTCATCCATCCCTAGAAAACAACCCAATATAGACAAAGTTTTATGCACAAAGCTGTTTGCTCCAGTGGATTTTTTCAATAGCAAAAAATCTGCAACAGCCAAATTTTTGGACAATAGGGGGATGACTCTGTAAATCATGTTACGTGATGATATGAGCTACAGTTGTTAATAATAGCCAGCGTTCACTTGGTGTCGTAGTGACTCATGTAGCACTCACATGAACTGTGCGAGGGCCCGAGGTGGAAAGGGACGTGGGGGCCTGCCCAGCGTCAAGCAGCGTGTGTCTGATCTGAAGCCAGAAAATCCGACTGTGGAGCCCAGGCTTTCTACCCTGACACTGGCTCCACCAGAAAGAGGCATTAAATCCATCCTCAAGTTTAGAAAATACTCACCATACAACTTTTGGGGGGAAAGGGGGTGCAGATTTTTTAAAGTACATGTATATAGAGCAATAATATCTATATAAAAATCGGGTGCTGAGAAAAAGGAGGAAAGGCGACACCAAAATGCTAGCAGTGCGCGTGTAGCAGGCTTGGAGAAAGGGCAGAAAGTGGGAGGGTCGGGGTTTATTTCATTCCCCTCTTCCCTATGATTACATGACCTTTTTAAAGAATATTTTTAATAAAACTAAAGGTTTAGCAAGCTTTGACCAAGCCAGACACTCCACCCCCAACCCATAGCCCCACTAGGATTCTGGCCTCAAGCCACACCTTTACCCAAGAGGAGACAGTGTCTCTGAAAGGGCCAGGGGCCCACTCAGACAGAGCCCTACAAGGAATCTTGAGCCCCACTCCTAACCTCAGCCAGGAGTACAGAATCAGGGGCTCCCCTCTTCTCTGGGGAGGACCAAAGGAAAGCTTGCCTGGGACATTCACTCCCCCACTTAAAATTCCTTCCCGGGGGCCCATCACTCAAGATACAGTTCAAACTCCCAGGCAGCACCCAAGGGTCTTTGCTAAAGCCCTGTGGGCCATACTCACCCCACAGCCAGGCTCCCACTCTCCTGCCTCACTTCACCACCCACAGGACCCCAGTCGTGCGGCTCTCTCCTGCTACCATGCCTGTGCACAAGTGGGTCCTTCCACCTTGGGGCACAGCACCCAGCGGGACTCCTCCAGCATCCCAATGACCCTGGAAAGTCAGCTCAGGGGTCACATGCCTGGAGAACCCGTCCTGCTCACCACCCCTTCCAAGGTTATGTCTGCAGTCCCCTGAGCTCCCAGCTTCCTGGGCTTCCCCCAACAAAGCACTGACCCAGTCCTAGAACGGGCAGCTTACTTGCCTGTCTGCTCCCCGCTCCCTGGCAGCTGTGAGCTCCCTGAGATTGAGGCTGGGGTCTGGTTCTTGGCTACAACTCCACATCCCAACTCACCCCCCAGCTGACCAGTCTCTTTGAGTCCCAGCTAAAGGTCACTTTCTGACCCTCTCCTCAGCAAGAACCGGGCCACTCCATTGTGCACACCCACGGCTCCCACCTTCTCCCTATCTCACCTGTGGAGCATTTCTCTAATGCTCCCACTTCAGGACAGGGCCACCACTGCAACCCCAGAGCCAAGTTCCAGTCACATAGCAGGGGCTCAGGTGCCTAATTCATGTTAGGTGCTCAGGAAACATTCCCTGGGGAAATCAATGTGAGGAGAGGCTCTGTTCATGTGGGCTGGACGCCTGAGAAGTCAGCAGGAGAGTAAGAGGGTAAGAGACAGCATGGGTGCGGAGGGCCGTGTAGGCGTGGAAAACCACTGACTTTCCAGGAAAGCAGAGCCCGCAAACATAGCCCTGTCCCGAGAGGGTACAAGCTGCTGCTAGGGGCTGGAGCGTCCCTGGGAAGATGAGCTTATCCACTGAGGGATGAGAGATTTCACCAAGGGAAAGGGGAGACGCCGAGAGAGAGATGCCAGGGAAGGGCAGGCCGGGGCGGAAAAGAGCTGCAGTGCAAAGGCCCAGAGGCAGGTGAGCGCGCAGCATTACATCGGGCCCATCGTAGAGCTCGCACAGGAACTTGCAGGGAGAAAGAGAGAATGGTGACCAGGGCACTTCATAAAGGACCAGAGTTCCAGGCTGGGGAGCTTGGATGAACAGCTTTGGGGGGCTATGGGAGGTCGCTGAGCAGGGAAAGCCAGTGGTCAAGGTTTTCAAAGGACGGGTCATTGCTAGGCTGAAAGATGGCCTGCGAGTGACGAGACAGGAGCTGAGGTTTCCCGTCCTCCCAGCTCCTTGAGACCCCCGTGTGCTTCCCATGACCTCTCTGCCCTCCACGTGCCCCACTCCATGTGGCCCAGAGCGCTGAGCCCCAGCTGTTGCACCCCACCCCACCCCCAAGACCCTGGCCAGGCTCGGAAACTCGCTCCTGGGAACTTCCTGTGAAGAACAGGGCTCCCGAGGGTCCTGGATCCAATTAGGCCGGGTTTCCGCAGCCCTGCGGGGCTGGGAAGGGCTGTTTTCACTGTGCTGGTGGAGCTGATGGGGTGGCGGGGAGGGAGGGGAGCTGGTAGTCAGTAGGAGCTAGGGTGCTGTCTCATCCCCTCCAGTTCCCCCCTTCCACATCAGCCACCCAGAGACACCCGAGGGCAGTGACTGTCCTCGAGAGCCTCAGAGCCCTCACTTAGGGGATGAGCCAGGCCCCCCTCTGCAGGCTTTGAACACATGCCCTTCTCCACTGCATTTCCCCAGGGGACCCCCAGCTCCCAGCTCCACAAGGAACCCTCTGCCAGTGTGAAAGGACAACAATAATAATAATAATTAATGAGCACTTCTTCCAGAGCAGGCACTGTCAGACACTTTACAAACACTTCTCAGGCTCCTAGACCCTGTGAGGTAGATACTGTAACATTTCCAACAGGACACACATTTAGAAAGATGCTAAGAGCATAAACGAACAGCTTAATAACTTATCATATGGTGCATATCCAGGGTGCCCAAGAAGCCCCCACCGGGGTCCCAACTCATTACCCTCCCCAAGGTCCTGCCCTCTTGGCCGCTATGGTCATGTCTTGCTTGGGTCAGGAAGGAGGTTCAGAATAGCCCGTGACCTGCCGAGGACGCGCCACTGGTGAGGACGGGGCTGGGGCCTCTGCCATCAGCCGCTGTGCGGCCTCCAGCAAGTCTGGGTCCTCTCTGGGCCTTCGTTCCTTAGATTTGACTAGATCGGGGTGCGGGTTCCTGGGCCCTCAGGTTCAGGAGCGATGTGGCAACTCCAGTTACAAGTACAATTCGGGGTGGAAGCTGCAGCTCGGGCCGCTGGGACTGTCAGTAGACAGGGACGATAATGGAGTCTGCACAGCCCTGGTGTGAGAACTCAGTGAGTGAACAGGCACGGAGGGTTTAGAACGGCGCTGAACACTGTGTGGCAGCTATTGTTACCGTCATTCTGTTTTTAGGCTCTCTAAGGCACAAGGGAGCCCAGCCCAACATTCCAAGACCCACATGGAAACTTGACCAACCAGGAACATTAACCAGGCTGGTGGGGGGGAGGGCTGGGGGGGGGGGGGGCTTGGGAGCCTTTCAGACCCGCAAGGGCTCTGCTAACTGGAGAACCAAGTCTGAGACTCAGAACAGGAGCGCGACTCTCAATCAGGCCAGCAGCCAGAGCAGGGCCAGGCGGCAAAGGGCGGCGGGCTGGTCAGAGAGGGGTGGGGGGGCCTGGGTGGAAATGCAGGGAGGGGCAGGCAGCAGGGAAGACCCACAGGCTCTCCCAGACCAGGCCTGGCCCACTTATCTCCCCCAGGCCTCAGCTACCACCTTCTCCACAGTCCTTTATTTCCCACCTCAGGGCCTCTGCCTGGAATGCTTCACGTAGAAAACTTTGGGCCACAGTTCAGCTATCACTTCCCCCCCAGAAAGCACCTCTCCCCTACAAACACCTTCATCACCACTCATCAGTGTATCCAAGAACACGCAGCTCTCGGGAAGCCCTCATCATAGAACAGTAGCTCCTTCCCAGCATCTACCAACACCTGCGGTGACACCATCGCGGGTGTGATGTCTGGTCTAAAGTCTGTCTCCTCCACCAGGGCGGGGACTAGGACAGTTTTCCTCACCTCCATTCCCACCTCTAACACACAGCCTGGCATATAGTAAATGCTCAAGAAATCAGCTCGTGAAGGCCAGGCCTAGAAACAAGTGGCCTGCTCCACCACTGTGAGCAGATGGGGGGGGGGCACACGTGAGTGCAAGGCATGCATGAGGAGTCATGTGCAGGGCCTGGGGGGGCTGCATCCCCATGTCCTACCAAGAATGTGTGCACGCAAGATGCACTGACATGTACAAACACACACCTGCATAAGCACAGTCTTGTGCAGATGATAAACGCGCCGTGTGCCCTGAGTGTGGACGTGCACAAGGGGGCGCAGGCATATGCCTGGGCATGGTACCTGGGAGGGTGCGTGGGGCACATGCGGGGCACAGCTGGCAGAGAGGGCTGTGTGCTCCTGTGAGGCGTGTGCATCATGCATGTGGACTCACACCCAGCAGATGCGCCTCCAAGCTCCTGGTGACCCGACTCGGGGCATCCCTGGTGGTGATCCTGAAATAGCCGGGTGCAGCCAGCCCACCCCAACACCCCAGCAAAGGGGCACCAGTAGTGGAATGGCTGAGTGTATGAGTGTGTGTGTGTTTAAGTGTCTAGAAGCAGGGGGGGGGGAACCCCAGAGGACCCAGATGGTGAAGACCCCTCAAGGGCATTCTGCAGTCACAAGGGTAAGGCATGAACAAGGCAGGACGTCTGGAGCCCAGAGTCAATCCCTCAGCCTTCCCCACACACCTTATCCACAAAAGACACCACCTGGCCTCTCCTCACATGCGACCCCGCCTCCAAAGCCTGCCCCTGCCATCCCCACAGCCCCCACCCAATTCTCACCACGCCCACATCCTTTACCCCAAGAGCAGGATGCAGACAGCACCAGGACCCTCGTGCCCGGCTCCTCCCCACAGCTCTGCTCCCAGTGTGCAGGCGAGGACACGGAGGGAGCAGCTTCCCCCACACAGGCTCTTCCTGCCTCTGAACCCCAAACTCTGGCAGCCCATTGGCACGTGAGGAGTGGGCCCGCCAGACAGTCACAAGCCGTGCGTGGCTGTGGACAAGGCCGCCACCTCCTCACCTTCCCGCTCAGTTTCCCCACGTGGGACTGGTGATGTGAGGTCTACCTCTCTCCACTTAGAGCGCAACTTCAGCTCTCAGATGATGGTCCAAGAATGGGTTACATAAACATTATCAGATATAGACGTTCTTGGGGCTACAGGCAAGATAACCGCCTGTCTGCTTCCCCAAGTACTCCCAGCCTGATGGCCCAGACAAGGGCAGCACACGGCGGGGGGGGGGGAGGGGGGGGAGTCTGGCACATTTGCACACTCGCTCCTGCATTCCCTCGTACATTCCGCACCGCGCACCAGGCGGCCTGCCCTCAAGGAGCTCGCGACCCAGCAGGGAGCAAGAAGTTGCTGAAGTCACGAAATCACAAGGTCAGAAGCGCTGGGAAACCATAAACACGAACATCGCTTCTCAGGCACCACCTCCTGGGAGCTGCACCGCTTACACTTGGGAAAGAAACTCTTTCTGGCGATGACAACTGTCTGCAAGAGGAGCCAGGGGGCTGGGAGGCAGCTCCCCACCCTCGAGCAGAGATCAAAGTCCTTTGGTGAGGATGTGTGAGGGGATTCCTGTTCTGTGCAGGGCTTAGGGGTCCAGTGAGGCTGGGCTTCCCCTGAGGGCTGTGGGATTCTCAGGAGTCCCAGAGTTCTGGGTTCAAACCCCACAAACCCCTGACGAGTTTGACTCAGGCAAGTTATCTAATCTCTCTGTGCCTCGTTTCCTCACCTGTAAACGGGGGGTGATGTCAGTGAGGGTTAAGTATATTAGTATTTAGAAAGCTCTTTTAAACACGGATTGGCACAAAGCAAGCACTCTGGCTGCGAAGCAAAGCAGTGAGAGTCCCCTTTGTAAGATTCTAAGTCCCTGATTGGACCCAAGTCCCTGATCAGACTCCAAGGGTCAGAGGCTCTCAGGTGGAAAGCTTCTCAGATTGAGGTTCTGAGATTGGAAAAGACCAGGATGCTTAGAGCCCATGATTTAATCATCTCGTTATTTCCTAACAACAGCCCCAAGCTTCCCAGGGGAAGAGAGGACAGAGCTCGGTGTCACTTCATCCCCCAGGTGCTGCCTTGCGGCCAGGGCCGCCACACCTGGGCTCCCCGCATCCACCCCTCCACTGAAGCCTCAGCCACACTGTGCTGCAACCACCTGCCAGCTCGTCTGCCTGGAGTCAGAGCATGTTCCAGCAGTGTAGACAGCCAAGAAGTGCAAATAAACAAATACATGAGAGTTCTGAATAGTGATAGAAGCTACAAAAGAAAAAGGGGGCTGACAAAGCAGAGTGACACTGGGAAGCTACCCTAGAGCAGGTTGTCAGGGAAGCCCCTCGGAAGAGGTGACATCTGAAACCCGTGAAACCAGAAAGTGCAAGCCAGGCAAACATTTAGGGGAAAGCATTCTGGGCAGGGGGGTGGGCAAAGGCCCTGACAACAGGCTTTGTCAATCTGAGGTGCAGAGAGAAGTCTTGTGTGGGGAGAGGTGGTAAGCCTGGGAAGGGAGGGCCAGCAGGGTTGGGGAGCTAAGGTTGAAGGGTGTTAGACCCAAACCACAAAGGGCCATGTTGGCCCACAAAGGACTTTGGATGTTCGTGCTTGCTTCTCCTAGAAGTGTTTTAGCAGGGTTATGACAGGGCACAGCAGGGCTTTCAGGGTTCCCATATCATTTGGCCCGTTCTGGAAACCCCATGATGATTTTGAAAATCAGGGTAGGAATCTAGGACTGTAATCAACAATCCTTACAATTCAGTGGATATGCTCAGCTCTACCACATGCCTGGCCAAAGCAGGGAAATAGTATAGACACTCTCGCCATCACTCCCAACAATCCATGAGCGGGTCACCGAGCGTACCCCATTTTAAAGATCAAGACACAGGCTGACAGAGGGGAAGAAAGTGCCCACAGTCCCACAAGCCAGGCACCACATTGGGCAAACTGTAAAGAATGATCCACAAGTGGGACTTGCTCCCAGAACCCAGATCCACCACCGTGAGGGTCTGTGGGACTCCTTTTGTATTTCCAAGCCTCCTCTTTCCTGAAATATCTTTCCTGGGGACTCAAGTAGGGACCCACAACACTGCGTTACCCACCTGCAGTCTCCTAACTTTTTCACTGTTGGCTTTAGTGCCCAGGAGGACTGCAGTTGTATCTGAGCTGGTGTTACAACGGGGGTTCTATAAGCCAGTGACTGGATGGATGGATTGATATAAAGATAGATGAACTACTGAAATGACTAATGAATGGTCAATGAAAAAACGAAGGAATGGGCCTCCCTGGTGACACAAGGGGTTAAGCACCACACTATGAAGCAATCCACAGCCTCTGCAGCACGAGTTCCATCCCCGGCCAAGGAGCAGCCCACATGGCGCAGCAGACCTCTCCTGTCTCCTCCACTGCTCCCCCTCAGCACTGTATTTCAGTCAGTCTGCCTGTTCTGCTCCCCACTCTGTCTCTGGTGGATCCTCTCACCCCCCACACCTCTGGCCTGTACCCCAGCTCTTGTATGCATAAATAAATTTTTTTTTTAAAAAATGAAGGAATGATCTAGCAAACCAATGAATGAATAACTGATGGCAGATGAAGCTGAGCACGGAAGAGTGTGTCCAGGGAAGGCTAGGGCCAGGCAAGTTTCAGACCTGCCCAGATCTCACCTATACACCAACTTTCTCTCCACCAGGGCTGCCTTGGCTCCACTCCCCCAAGACCACAAGGCCTATACCTCAACCCATGGGACAAAACAATGTCTCCGCCATCATAGTGCCCATGGCCCTGTCACCAACCACAAGCAATCACTGCTCTCCAGGGCCCAGTGGAGACTGGCATTGCGTAGAGCAGTTAGCTCCCTGAGGTGCGCCACACAGGAAAAGACAGGAGACTGAGCCTCTGGTCCTATCTGGGCCCCAAGTCACGGAGTAACTTCAAGTCAATGACTCCCCACTCCAAGCCCAGCATCTTTCCAGCTCTGATATCCATTAATGCTGATTTAGAGTTGCTGGGTGGGCAGAAGAATTTGAAAGGCCCCAAATTAGAAGGCCCCCTAGGAAAGGCCCAGACAAGGAATGCAGTGGCCTGAATCTAAGCCCTTTTCTACCACTTCTCAGCCTCTCCAAAATGGGGTTACATATCCCCCACCTTGACAATTCACCCCGAGTTTCTAGGAGCACTTGATATACTACACCGTGCAAACGCTGAGGTTGCACTCACTTTACAAGGCTCATGATGAGAAGAGTAAAGGGGACGTGGGATGCATCACCCCACTCCAGTCCAGTTCTGTCCAAAATGTTCCCCTTCTAGGGGGTCAGGGTCCCCAACAGAGAGAGTGGAGAAAACCCAGAGATGGGAGCCCGGACACCTGGGTCCTGTCTCAGCTCTTCTGACAGTGTGACTTTAGGCAAGTCATTTCCCCTCTCTGGACACCAGCTTCTCCATCTGGAAAATGCCTGTGGTCCAGGCAATGCCAAGTCCTGCAGGCCTAAACCCCTAAGCCCCGACCTTCAACCTGTCTCTACCTGCAAGTGGTTCCCACTGCCCTGGTGGAGACAGGACACAGAACCAGCTGTGAGGCTAGAGGGATCTCCCCTCCAAGAGACACTGGGGTAGGGGTTAGGGAGGCTCAGGGTCCCCCCCAGGGCTGACAGACTTTCCCAGCAGGGAAAAGACCAGTTTCAAACTGCCCTGGCGTCTTGGACAGCACCCGTCACCCCAGCCCCTGGAGGCCGGACCTTCAGACCCCTCTGCAATCTGCAAAGTCAGCAGGCCCTGCCCTGTCCATCCAGATACTTGAGGAACTTCACCCAAACCCAAACTGCCTCCAACAGAGGAGCCTCCAGGGTGCAGGGCAGGAGTGGCAGAAAGGGGTAAGAGTACAAAAACCATAGGGAGCAGCTCAGACAACCCCACCAGCACACCAGGCGCCCCCCCTCCACCAGTCAATCCCTCCTGCCCCTCCTCTCAGACAGTACCCCCAGGGGCTAGTAGCCTGCACCCAGCCAAGAGCCCAGCAGGGGAAGGGGTTGGACTGGCGGGACATTTGCCACTAGATGCCACCTCCTATTGTCAGGAGGCCCCCCTGGATCAGAGAAGGGGCTCTCCAACTGCCAACACCAACACACACGTCCCAGAGCTCTGGTGGGGGTGGGGGGGGGGCTACCCGGAAACCCAGGGCAGGATTCCAGCATACAAGTGGGCCCCTGGCCACCCAGAAAGGAGACAGGCCCACCCCACCAACAGTTCACAGTTCAAGGGTTCCACGCTGCTGGAGGGCAGGGTGGGACGGCAGGATTATTTCCTCCTCCCAGGCATCTTAGCTGGGAATTGTGGGTCCACTCTGAGCCCCAAGTGCCAGTCCTCTCCCCCAAATCTGAGGATATAGTTCCTTAAAACAGCGTCTTAAAGAGCCTCTTTCAAAAGCTGTCTTCTGGTACCCAAAAAATCCCCATCCCTAGCCCTCCACATCCCCCTCAGAGCTCTGAGGACACCGGCGGTTAACTTTTCCCCCAACAGCCTGCAAAGGCGGGTGTCTGGGGGGGAGAAATGGGCCCGAGGTTCCTTTCGCGGCATTTCACCGCCTTCCAAAAAAAAAAAAAAAAAAAAAAAAAGCTAGAGGGAAAAAAAAAAAAAAAACTTTCGGAGTTAACTTTAAATTCCCAGCCCTCCCCCCCAAATCGCCCAGCGGCTTCCTTTTTTTTTTTCTTTAAAGTGCAATTGCATTGTGTCTCACCTCCCCGAAAGGCTCGCGGCTCTCGCCAAAGAAAAGGGAAAAAAAGCCAACCCTTCGGGTGCCCCCTCTGCTTCCAGCCGCCTCTCCCACATTCTCAGACAGTTTTATTAAAATTTTCAGACAAAAGAAAAACAAAAATGGCAGCCTGGCTTATTTTTAAAACAGGACAGGGACGCCATATTCTGCAGATCTGCAAAAAAAGGGAGAAATCCGGCACTGGCCGCTCCACCCGGCCGGCTGCAAAGTGCGCGAACCGCGCGGTTTGCAATCCGTTTATTTGCATTAAGCCCCATGAATCATTGTTTACCGGAGAATTGCAGCAGGTTTGAATAGCCCGGCTCGGGCACACACACACACACACGCACACACACACACACACGCGCGCCCGCGGGGCCGGCTCCAGACGCGCCGCCGGGCCACTTCCCCGCCCGCCGCGGCCGCGCTCCGGCCCCGGCCCGAGGCGCGGGCGGCCCCGGCCCCCGGCGCGCCCCGGCCCGCGCTGACAGCGCCCGCGCCCCCGCCCGCAACTCGGCGCAACTTTCCCGCGGGCGGGCGCGCGGGCGGGCGCCGCCGCCGCCGGGCCCGCTCCCCGCGCGCCCCGGGCCCGCACGGACCTGGCTGAGCTGGCGGCGGCTCCGGGACGCGGCCGCAGCCCCGCGCCCGGCGGCCCGAGCAGGGCCGGGCTGGGGCTCCGGCTCCGGCTCCGGCTCCGGCGGCGGCTCCGGCTCGCGCGGGGCGGGCGCAAACCTTCCGGGTCGCCTGCTGTTCACTTCTGGGTTCTGCAAGCGCCGAGGCGCGGCTGCGGCGGCGGGAGGCTGGGTCTGCAGCGCCGCGCGGCCCCCCGTGCGCTCGGCGAGCCCCCGCGCCAGGCGCCCGGCTCCGGGGGGCCGCGTCGGGCCCCCGCCTCTCCGGCTGCGCAGCCCGTCCGGCCCCGGGGGCTCCCGCGAGTGGGCAGCGCCGGGCGCGGGCGGCGGCGCGCGAGGGGAGGGGGCCGCGCGGGGGGCGGGGGCGGGCCGCGCGCTGGGGCCCCGCTCGGGCCCCGGGGCCTCGTCTCGCGCTCGCCGCCGCCGCCTCGCAAAGTTGCGCCGCGCCCCCCGCCCGCGCCGCGCCGGAGGCAGAGCCACAAAGGAACTCCTCGCCCCCTCCGCCCGCCCGAGCCGCGCGGGGAGGGCACCGGCGCCCGGCCCTAGGCCGGCCCCTTCCCCGGCGCGGGGGCTCCCGGGGCCCCGAGGCCGCGGCCATTGTCCCGCCCAGGCCGGGCCGCCGCCGCGCCCCCTCCCCGGCGAGGGCGGGCGGGGGGCCTGGGCCTGGCGGGCCGCGGTCCCGACCAGGCCGAGCCCGCGAGGTGCCAGGCTGCCCCCGGGGGTCCCCTTCGCAGGCGGCAGGCTGGAGGGCACCCCCAGAGGGGGCCCCCACACCTGGCAAGCCACGATCGTGCCCAAATCCAGGCCGAGATATTTTTCTTAAGACGAGGACTTGGGGGTGAGGGGCAGAAGTTTGGACAGGCCAGGCCGCCCCTCTCTCTGCAGGCTCCGGCCCTTCCTGGCCGAAGGCCCGAGCCCCCGAAGGGTGGGGCCGCCTGCGGCTGTCAGCGGCTCTCCTCGCGGAGTCCATCCGAGGTGGCACCGGCTGTCCCCCAGCTCCAGACCTCAGAGCCATCTGTGTGTGACTCCTCCTCCCGCCTCGCCCTCCCCAGCCAATCAGTCACTAAGTCCTCCGGATTCGGCCTCCCGGGCTGTGTCAGCTTCCAAACTTCGCTTCTACCTGAGGAGGCCGCCAGCCCCTGGGTCCCTCCGCTGGCTTGGGCTTCCCTGACACTCACTGCCACGCAGCCGCGAGCCCGGGGGGATCACACCTGGCCCTGCCCCCGGGAGCACCCAGTCCCGGGAAGGGCAGCTCGTAAACAGCCACCTGCCCGTGGGGGGTCGTCCAGGCAGCGTTTCAGTGACCAGTGCAGGACCTGCTCTCAGGCGCTGGGACTCTGTAGGGTCAGGTCAGAGCTGTGCACCTAAGAACAAGTTGGACAAAGTCCCTGCCCTCAGGGTGCTTGCAGTCTCTCCCGGGTGTCCCTGCAGTGAAGGGCGGAGGACAGGGCAGCAGAGCTCTGGTCAAGCCCCAAGCCCAGCACAGCGTCTGCCTCAGAGCAGGACTAGTTGGGGTTACAAAGAACTGGGGGCAGGACAACGAGGAGGTGCCTCTTTTTTCCCAGAGAGGTGGAGCAGGTCTTCAAAAATCAGACATGGTGTGGGGGGGTGGACCACATGGGGAAGAAGGGAGGGCTTTCCAGTTGCCAGGCACATTCAGGCAATAATAAATAATGCATTGTGGAGCAGGTCTGTGAAATACTAAATTAATAAATGGGAGAGAAGAGACAATTCTCTCTTGAAGAAGAAATTCAAAATATCTAGATAGCTAAGGAGATGGAGCATAATGCCCCGGTGCTTGGAGGTGGGCTGTGTATAGTGACTTCCTTCCAAAGTGCCCAGGATGGAAGGGGAAGAAAAAGGAGAACTTTACAGTGGACACAGCGGACAACGACCTGGGCCTGGTGAGCAAGGGCAGCATGGACAGTCACACATCGCAGGGACACGCTGGATGTATTGCCAAGGACACTTTGCCTCTATGGTCCTCCCGTACTGTAACCCCAGTCTTGTCATGAGAAAAACATAAGACACACTCAGAGAGTGGGGCCATCCTAAAAACAGCTGTTTAGTACTCCTCCAAACAGTCAGGGTCATCAAAAACAAGGACACTCTCGAAAGCTGTAATAGCCTGGAGGAGCCCAGAGTGTCCGAACCATTCAGCATTTGTGGTGTCCTCCACAGGAGCCTGAAACAGAAAAAAAGACATTAGGTAAAAACTGAGGGAATCTCAATAAACCAGGGACTTTAGTTAATTTAAAAAAAAAAATCGACAGAAGTCCCCATTAATAACCACAACAAATATTACATGCTCACATACAATGCAACTAAGAGAAAAATGGGTTGGGGGATATGTTTTATATGCTCTCAATTTTGCTGTAAATCTAAAACCATCCTAAAAATTAATCCTAAAAATGTACCAACCCATGTGAGGGTCGATGTCATTGTTGCTCACAGAAATAGCGCTTGATACAGCACCTGACACAGTCTAAGGACCCCAGAAATGTTATTACATTTTAACTAGTGCCATCGTTGTCATTCTAGGATGTGAAGGCAGCACATGCAAAGGCAGAGTTTAGGGTGAAGGTGGTGGGATGGAAACAGAATCCCGAAGGCTTTCACTGCGAGCTAGGGTCCTTATAGGGGATTTGTGGAGGAAGGAGACGTAATCTGACCCATCTCTGCCTCACCAGCGTCCTGTTCAAGTACCTGGAAAGCTCTTCTCCTGCCAGTCAGAGTCAGCACTGCTTGGGCCTTGCTATCTCCTTCCAAAGGCCTTTGCACATGCTGGTCGCTCTGCCTGGAACACGATCCCTTCTGTGCCCTTCCATCCCACCTTTCCTGGTAGCCTTCAATCCACCATTCAGGTCCTAGAGTGGACATTCTGGGACCTTCCAGATACCGCTGATTTGGTCTGAATGGAGTCGGTGTGGGCTGAGATACAGGAAGTCAGAGATGGAGAGACTGAACTTAGCTGTTTGCCACTGAAGCCCTTCTTCCTCTCCCCCAAATCCAGCCCTCCCAGATGCTGCCCTTTCCATGAACACACTGCACCTTCATGCCTCGTGCTGCTCTCCACACCTGGGGTCCTTAGTTCTTGTCTCCCCATTTCTTATCTCTCTGGCAAACACCTACTTACCAAGGCTTGGCTCAAACATCACTTCCTCTGTGAAGCTGTTCTAGGTCCTCTGCACAGGACAAGGCATGTTGCTTGGTTCCCGAGGGCACCCTGGTCCTCTGGTTACAGGGTTGGCAAAGCACCTCTCACAGTGTCTGAGAATAAATGTTTGCTAAATGAGTGGGCAACTGATGGGTGGACAGAAAATCCACTCTCATCCTCTCTAGTTCTTCAGATCCTCCTTATTCCCTCCAGGAAATCCTCCATGACAGTTCCAACCCACTGACCTCCCTCCCTCCCTCTTTTTATTTTTTTTTTAAGATAGATTTATTTATTTATTTATACAAGCACTGGGTACGATCAGATGTGCGGGAGGGTGAGAGAATTCACCAGAGTCAGAGCGAGGAGCAGAGCAGGCAGACCGACGAAGTACACTGCTGAGGGGAGCAGCAGGCGGCAGGAGAGGTCTGCGCGCCATGTGGGACCCTCGCCAGTGGCCAGGGATTGAACTGGCGCTGCAGAGGCTGCAGAGGCTGTGGGCAGCTTCACAGCCCAGCGCTCAACCGCTGCTCCACCAGGGGAGGCCCTGACCTCCCTCTCTCTTTAACTTTTACAATTTAGCCCTAATTGTATTCCAACTGCCAAAGTATAAGATCTATCCCTGGGATTAGAGTAAATTCTTTTGGGGAAGAACCAAGTCTCAGATGTTCTGTTTCTTCACCCATTCAATAGATATTACAAAAATAGATATTTCTACATCACAGGTAGAGTCACAAGATCCAGAGAAGCAGTGAACAAGACACAGGTTCTGCAGTGAGAGAGCATTAGTTAGGATAAACCAGACTTTGCTGCTGTAACAAAAAAAACCCAACCTTGGTGACATAACACAAATGTAGTTTATTTCTCCCTCATGTCACATGTCATCCTGGCTCCTCTGCTCTAGTTCCTCAGGGGTCAGGCTGCAGAGTCCCTGCTATTTTGAAGCTGTATTCACTGGAACCTGTATCCTTCTCCGTTACCATGGCCTTCCAGGACAAGAGAGGCTGGAGGGCTGTGCAGGGGGTTTACCTGTTTCCACCAGGAAGGGACCCGCACCACTTCTTCTCACCGTCCTCTGGCCATGGCTAGTCAATGTCCGGCCCTCTCACAAGGCTATCTGGGAGATGCAGTCTTCTCTGGAAGAAGTGGATGTTGGTGAGCTGCCCCACAGTCTGTTCCAGAAGACAGAACTTAAATAATTACTCAAATAATTATTTAATTAGTCTCATAAGAGCTTCAAAGGGGAGGCTGGAGGTGTCAGGAGAGTGGGCAAGAGAAGATCAAGGAGAACTTCCTAGAGAAAGAGACATTTAATCTGAGAACAGAGAAGAGAGTTTCTGGCAGAGAGCACAGTGTCTGAGAGTTCTGAGTCAAGGAGGAGGCAGAAAGGACAGTGGAGCTCAAGCGCAATGAGGGGGACTGAGAAATGGCACCTAAAAACTGGATATCTAGGTGGGCTCTCAGAGGAGTTAGCGCTTTGGCTTAAGACCAGTAGAAAGTCGTGGGGAGGCAGACATTGAGCAGAGAATTGAAGTGGTGAGACTCCTTTGCAAAAGGTCCGCATGCCGGCTGGCAACGAATGGACAGTGAGGGGGCATAGCAGGCCAGTAGAGAGACTCAAAACCTTCCAGTGAGCGATGGTGACACTTGAGGCTGAGATGGCATTGATAGAGGTGGGCAGAAGTGGACAGATGTGGGACACCACACCGCCAGGATGACCAAGCCACCAGGATTCTACAGCCTCCATCATGCTGGGCACAGGATCGACTTCTGAGCATTGCAACCCACCCTGTCCACAGGGGAACTTGAGGCCATGGGATTCCCATCTTCCTCTCCCTGCCCTGTATGCAAGCTGGCTGTCTCCTCACCCCGCACATCAGGCTCTACTTTTCATCAGAATAGAAAATATAAAACAGGCTCAAGCACCAATACATGCACTTGCTATTAATAATTGGATCTCCATAGGCGCCCTGACAGGCAGGTCATCCGTCATTTGTCAGGTGGGAAAACTGAGGCCCAGAAAAGGAAAATGGGTCGGCTAAGTCTCGGGCTAAGTCTCCAGCTAAAGTCCTCAGGCTCCTAGTCCAGAACTCCTTCTGCAGCGGCACCAGTGCCTGGGGGTGTTGTGTGAGATCAGCTGAGAAAGTAAATAAACAAGCGAGTGAATGAATGAATGACCATGTGAGTTCTCTGCCCATTCACTCTTTTCTCCTTTACTCATTTTCTTTCCCTGAAGGGGGCCGTAGATTTTAGCATTAACAAGTTAGGTTTGATGGAGGGGGGTTTGAATCCTGGCTTGGACAGACTGGTGATTCCAGGCAACTTTCTTCCTATCTCGGGTCTTGGTTTTCTCATCAGAATACCTACTTCTTGGGGCAAGTATTCAGTGAGGTCGTGGAGGGTGAAGTCAGAGTCCTGCTGACTACTGCACTCTGCAGACCCTCTGCCAGCTCAGCTCTCCTGGAAAACCTTTCCTGAGAACACCAGCTCAAGCTTCCCCAACCCCAACAGACATTTCTCAACCCCTCCTCATCTGTACCATCCCAGTTATAACGCGGAGGAAAGTCATTTAAACCCACACTAGTCATCTGCCTTCTTGAAGCGATGGCATAATTCATGATAGTGTGAAACCCAACATCTTGGATGGGTGGTGGGCGGGGCAGGAAGAAACTTCTACCACTTCCTCTGGGGAAATGCTTAAGTGTTTGGCCAAGCCCTCTGTTCTCAGCCAGGGCCAGGGCCCTTGGGCCTGTGGGCTCCAACCATCCAGGCCTCCTGTGAGTTTAGGCAAAACATGCTGATTCCTTTTGCCACGTGGCCTTGGCAGTGCCTCCTCCTAGCGTGTGCTCTCGACATGCCCCCCTTGCCTATGAACTTCTGCTCACCCTGCAAGCCACAGCCACATCCTGCAGCCAGCCGCCTGCCTTACTGCTCCGTGGTCTTCTTTTTCTGCACACTTGCCCCAGCTGTAATTCTGCATCCGGAGGTCTGAACCTTTGATTTGACATCACACCACAAAGTAGGAAGTTAGTACCTATCTGCTCATTCATTTGATAAGAAGTGATGGGGATTGGATATTTGCAGCTGAGGGGCCTCAGAAAATGAACGAGCTGAAACGTGAATAGTGTCTTGACATGTGGGGTGATTGGTAAAAGGAAAGAACTTGAGGGGGGTGACTGGTGGACAGGTGCTCAGAACTTGTGAAAACAGGACTATATGTTGGTCACATTTCTGCATTGTGGAAACACAACCCCCACGCCCCTTAAACCTGTAGTAAAATGAACTGCATTCTGCATGTTCGCCTGCCTGGGCTGGCACTGAGTGGAGAAGAAAGACAAACAAACAGACAGAGGAGAGGGGAACATCAGAGCTGGAAGTGACTGAGACTTTGAAAGTCCCTGTCTTGGGGACAGATTGGACTTCCTCACTATTTGAGATAGGAAATTCCAGTGATGTTCATTTACATCTCAAAGGACCTGGAATCTGGGCTCTGAACAGCAAGACTGTTGTGCTTGGTTCTGTCACAGATAGGGACAACTGGTTCCCTAGGCCAGCCTTATTCAGCGACTCCCAGGTCTGCAATTTGACTTAGTTTTTTTGTTTTGTTTTGTTTTGTTTTTTTGCCAGAGATTCAAGACTATCTCTTTGTCATCTTTTGTGTCTATACCTTTAGTAATGAACTGGGCGTCATGGGATAAAGGGAGGTGGCAGAGGGAATGGCGGGGGCAAAGCAGAACCAGCAGAACCAATGGGGTGCCCACCCGGCAGAGCAGGATAGGACGATCCAAGCCCCATTCTAGCCAATCCCTCAATGAATTTTGAGGCAGTCACAGTGCATCTCTGGGCCTCAATTTTTTTCAACTCATAAATAAATTGGCAAGTTGTTGGTAAAAAGCATGAATGCTTTGAGATCAGACACATAGAGTTTGACTCTTGGCTCCCACTAGCTTTTGGACCTAAGAGCAATTCAGTCTTCTCATCTGTAAAATGAAAATAAAAATCTTTATTTCATAGGACAGTGTCAGGATTAGAAATTGTATATGCCACCATTTACTCTAAGAGAAGCATCTCGCTGGGCTTTTTATGGGCGTGAGCTCACCCAGAGGAGGTAGGCACTCCAGGCCAGTGCCCAGGGCCTCAACAGTGCTTAGGAAGTGTTAATTCCCCTCTTCCCATAGATCTAAGGAGTTCATGGGTACGGAAAGGCTTTATCATCCACAAATCACCCTCAGAAATCAAGGCCCAGGGCAGTAACTATTTTCAGTCCTTCCCTTCTGTTTCCCACACCCCTCCAGTGCTAAGCCTTCACAGCAGATCTGGCCCCAGCCCTCCTTTATGACTGCCCCGGGGCTGCCAGAGGAAAAGGGCAGAAGTGCCATAATGAAAGGGCAGACAATTACCTTCCCTTATAATTACCATTTGCAGTAATTAAATAATAATAGCCTTTTGTAGGCCCTGAGAACTCAAAGCAGCCCACATCTGGTTCTCCTCTCTTCTGCCAGGAATTGCCTGCCCACAGAAATCGGATGGGGAAGTTGAGGCAACGAGCAGAGGAGAACAGAGCCGGCCATCCCTAGCCACACACAAATCAGGGTGCGAGAGTCATAAAGTGGCTGTTAAAGAAGTGAGTGGGATGTTAGACACCTGTGGGCCTGTGTTTTGGGTCCTGTCGCCAATGCTCACATGCTGTGTGGGTGTGAGGGGGTTGACTTTCCTCTCTGGGCATCAGTCTTTCCTTATATAAAGAGAGGTGGAGCCTACACCCACCAGCTACCACTACCCGTCTATTGTTCAGGTTTTATTCTGTTCATACACAAAACCGAGCAATTCTTTTTTGCACACTTTGGGTTACGAGAGATAAAAATTCATCTCAGGTTAGCAAACCAGCAGAAAAAGGGGTTTACTTTCCCTCGAATTCAAGATAGGGATAAAATGCTGAATTGTGCAAGAAGCAGAGGTTTGGGGGTACCTGTTTCTGCCTCCCTCCAGTGTCAGTTTTATTCTTTCTCCACCTCCCTCCAGGATGCAAGAAGCATGGTAGGGCCACGTTTCCTACCTGCTGTGCCAAGCGGCAGCCATCTAAGGGCGTCTACTCTCATTGGCTCTCCTTGAGTCAGGTGGTCACCCTTGGACCAATCAACTGCAACAAGTAGGGCAGCATCTACCATATCTCATGGGAACCTTAGGGATGCAGTAAGAGAAGGGGGGCAAGGCCTGGAAGAAATGAGGGGCATCTGGCAGGCAAAATAATAGTCATTCACTAAAACAAACCCTGCGAGTGGCCCAGAGTGGAGTGAAAGGGAAGTGTTATAAAACCAAAGCAATGGTAAAAATCACCAGGAATGGGGCGAGGCGGGAGGTAGGGGATCTACAGGCTTGGCTTCAGATTCCAGGCCCCAGGCTGCGTCCCCTGTCCTATTTGAGTGCCCCCTTTGTACACTTCACCAGTACAAGCAGAAGCTGTGTCTAGGCTTCTCACTGGCCTGGGTGAAATATCCTGTGAGTGGTCGCCCATGGGTGCTGCCTTCCAGGTTCCTTCCCTCTACTGACAACAGCAGCTGCCCCTTTCTTAGAGGGAACTGCTGTGCCTCTTGTGTCCCCACATACCCAAGCAGGTCAACCCGTCTTCTCCCTTGGGCACCTAAGGCCATGTCTCCAGAAGAAGCCATCTGGGAGAACAGAAACCCACACTAAGAGGGGCAGAGTCCAGAGCTCAAGGCCCTGGCAGGTCCCCATGCTTCATTCCAGCCCCTCAGAGTTCAGCCTAACGGCAAGTCAAATTCCCTGTGGGCGGATGCCTTCATTTCCTCAGTTGTTATAACAAATGACCACAAGCTTGATGGCTTCAAACGACAGGAATTTCTTCCTTCACAATCTCAATTCAAGATGGGCAGGGCCACGAGGTTCCTTGCCTCCTGCAGTTGCTGGTGGCTACAACATCCATGGCTGGTGTCTGTTTCGCTCCTTTGCCTTCAGGTGGCCCCCCTCTCCTGTACCTTTTATGGAGACACTTGTCATTGGGTTTAGGGACCAGCCAAGTGCTGTGGAGTGATCTCATCTAAGGACTTAACTTTATTGTATCTGCAAAGGCCTTTTTTCCCTAATAAGACTCACTCACAGGTTCAGGGGTAGGACATGGGCATCTCTCTTTGGGGGGAGGGGGGAGGGTTTACCATGTAACCCAGTGCAGCAGACCTGGGGGTCAGGCGTGGGTCGGTCCTCGCCTCGCCCAGATCCTAGAGCCTGAATATTTTTAAACACCACCCAACTCCTTGCAGGAAGGAGCTCCCTCTCTGAAGCTCACATTTTGTTTTCTAGTTATAAAAGGGGGTAATACCATGTATCCACAGGGTTGTAGCATGGATTCAAGAAAGTGAGACATGGGGCCTCCCAGGTGGTGCAGCGGTAGAGCGCTGGTCTGCGAAGCTGCCCGCAGCCTCTGCAGCACCGGTTCGATCCCCGGCCACTGGGTGAGAGTCCTACATGGCACGCAGACCTCTCCTGCCGCCCGCTGCTCCCCTCAGCAGTGTATTTCATCTGTCTGCCTGTTCTGTTCCCCGCTCTGGCTCTGGTAAATTCTCTCACCCTCCCGCGCTTCTGACTGTAACCAGTACTTATATAAATAAATAAATAAATCTTAAAAAAAAAAAAAAAAGTGAGACATGTAAGACCATTCTCACAGTTATACCCCACATGAGCTGGAGTCCTCAGACCATGGCAAACAGCAGTCCCATCGTGAGCAAGCCACACACCTGGCTTTCCAGACTATGGCCTTCTGGACCTAAGGAAATCAAATTCCAGCTCCTGCAGAGGTGAGGGCTGGAACCCTTTGCCAAGTCTGTCACCCCTGTTGAGGACAGAAATCTGAAGACAGATAAAATGAGTGTTGCAGCCACTTAGAAAAATCCTAGAGCTAAAGAAAACACAGGCTTGATAGCTGCTCCCTACAGGTTTGTCCTCCAACGTGGGGACCCCTCTTGAATTTTACCACAATCCTGTGAAGCAGCCCTTGGGGTCCCCATTTTACAAACCAAGTTGGTGAGGTTCAGAGAGATGAAGTCAGTGGTCTAGGACCACAGGGCAAGTGAACTGTAGGGCCTGGCCCAACTCCTGCGCCCGTCTCCTCCCCCACATGGCCTGGGCCGTGCTCCTCAGTGTCTCCTTCCATGCACAGTGGCATCAGCAAGCTCAGAAGCCTAATAGAGAGCATTCTGAAATATTTATGGGGGGATTTCCCCACAAAATTCCCTTCCCCCATCAGACTGTTGATTCACAGTTGCACGCTGGTGGCTAAAAGAGTGTCTGGCACTCGATATGTATTTGTTGAATGAATAAATTCGGTTACTTAGGGCATTCCTGTGGTTAGTGCCTTGGGGAAGAGATGACAGGTAACACAGGTAACAAAGAAGTTCTAGATTTCTGAGTGTTAAATCCTGGGCTCAGACTTAAAACCAAAGGTTTAGGAGCATATGTGACCATTCTTGAGACTAGAAATGACCATTGCCCCAGGAGTGAGGGGAAAGAGGTGAATCAGAGGGGAAGCAAAACAAAGCTGGAGAATTCTGAAGGGCCCCAGAAAAGGGAACTCCAGAGGGGTCTTGGGCTGGGAGAACTAAGGCATCCATGAAACCCCTGTTCCTGGTCCCCTGCACAGCACACACTTGGCGGAAATATGCAGGTATGTCTAGGCAGACACACCTGAGAGCTTCAGGGCGATCGAAGCATACCTGGGGAATAGGGTGCCACTGGAAGGGACTGCGGGACTGGGGACCAGAAGGGCAGGGCAGGCTTTACTGAGGCTGACTGCATACAGGGCTCCGTGGCGGCTGTGGAGCCGGAAGCCTGGACCCCACTCCTGTGCCTGTGTGACTTGGGCAAGTCCTGTAACCTCTCTGTGCGCATTTCCTCATCCATCACAAGAAGATGACTCAGTAATACCCCCCATGTCCTAGAGCCAGTGCGAGGATGAGCTGAGTGCAGGCACTCACAAGCGCTGCCCAAATGGTTACAGTTGTCATCGTGTGAGCCAGCCTGCAGAATGGGTGGTGAAACTTACCGAGAGGGCTTCTCCTGGTCCTGTTATTACCCTCCTCCCAGCACAGCAGGGGGCTCATTAGCAGCTGGTGGACTCTCAAGAGAGGTCTCCCATGTCCTACAGTGGTAGAGTTCATGGTCCCAGGGCCCCATCCCCACCGCAAAGTCTGCAAAATGAGATGATGTTATGAAGACACTTAGCGAAACAGAAAGTACTTCTCTAGAAATTTCAGCTATTATTCACAGGAATTGCTCTCTTGTTTCCCCAAACCATGCCTCAACTGACAATTTTTTTACCCATCTCTGAATCCATAGACTTTTTTTCATCTTTCTTACCCTTTAAAAAAAAAAGTACATTTTGGGGGGCCACCCCTGGTGGCGCAGCGGTTGAGTGCTGGGTTGCGAGGCTGCCCGCAGCCTCTGCAGCGCCAGTTCGATCCCCAGCCACCTGTGAGAGTCCCACCAAAAAAAAAAGTACATTTTCCCATACAAGCAATTCAGACTCAGAACAGGAACATTTGAAAATACATAAAGGTAAGGAAGAGGAAGGTAAAAATCTCCTTTGGGCCCATTACCTAGTGATAACTAATTTATTCCCTTCTAATCTTTCTTCTTTACCAAACATTTTTACAAAGGCATTTTTACCAAATGACCACATTTGTTAATACCCAAAATTGCATATAATTATATTGAACATCTCTCTTTTCTAATTATAATACATGAATAAAATTGGTACATAAGAGAAGGAGTAAGAAAAAAGAAATATGAGCCAGAAGCCCTAATTTGGGGTGCAATGCACCAGCCCTGTCCTTCCCCCCACCTCCTGTTCAGGCCTTTTCTAGGACTTGGAGACTTTGTGTGGATTTTCTTAAAGAACTGGGGAGCAAACACTCTGGTCCCCCAAAAACACTCTGGTCCACCCATGCACTTAGAATTGAGACAG